TGTCCAAGGTTTGTCATCATTGACCAAGAGAAGTCAAAATGATGAATCTTCTCGGAATGGAGGTAGTAATTTTTTAACATAATATACCAATTCAGTTTTCTATAGATTCACAAAGTCTGAAAGCCAATAATCCTCCTTAATAATATATATGTTCTCCATATTTATAAATTAAATCACATCGATGCTTAAGCACGTACTTGCAATGCAAAAATTGGCGTATATTTTATCCATCATCACTTTATTTTATCTTGTACAGATTTAACAATATTAATATAATTAATCTGACTTGATTTACATTTTCCACCATATACTATATGTTAACTATTAAGATTTTTTTTTGTAAATATATATTTTGTATATTCTTAATTAGTTGGTATGCCATAATGTGTGATGCAAATATTCCACACTATGCATGTCAACTAGCTAGAACACATACATCATTCATAGTAAATGTCTATATTGAAACTTACTCGTAGCCAAAGAGAGATATAGATGTGCATTGAAGATGCATTAGGATAGAGGAAGGAGTAATTACCTTATGAATTCTGGGTTAGTGAGGAGGGAGAAATATCAATACGATGCAGTAATTAGAGTGGGTGGGAGATTTACTAGTTGCACTCGTGATAAAGATCACTAATAAATGTTATTCTAAATTAAGTAGTATATATGAATAAATAAAATTTGCTTTATCCTTTGAGTACGTAAATTATTTGGAGTACTCCGTAAGTCAACTCATGATGCCAAATCGCAACCAGGGTGATGTAATTGTTTGACATCACTAGCTAGATAAGACATTTTTTGAAATTTTGAGAAACATTGCAGCTGTTTTAGAGCCTGTTTGGTAATATCCAAATCGATTGTATTTGCTAATTCTGTTAAAATTTTTGAAATTTTGATTGAAGTGGTTGGATGTTGATTCTGTTGAAATATGGAAAAAAATATTTAAAATATACTTCCTCCATTCTTTAATTCTTGCAACATTGTGTTTTTTGCACTATTCACAGACCTTACTTTCACCACGATTTTCTACTAATATACATATTCTAATTATTATGTATAAAATGTTATTGAATTCCTATCAATGTGAATTTCCAAAAAATTAACCTTTTATAATGTTTACTAATACATAATTAAATATAATTACAATCAAAGTTATGCATCGACAAACGTGAAAGTCAAACTGTTGCAAGAATTAAAGAATGGAGGATAGTATTTGATTAATTAAATTAAGAAAAAAATTATGCATTTGAGTATTCCATGAAAAATTAGTTAGAACATTGTTCAATTTTGACATTATTTTACATCATAACTTTATCATTAATTATTTTTATTAAAATAAAATTATTATTAGTTGAGATTAGTAAAGTAAATAGACAAGACCTTCTAAAACTAATAAGAAAAAAAGACTTTATTTAAACACATTTAAGGAAATATGTAGTTATTTAAGATATAGAGGTAGAGGTCAGGGAGTATTAGATAATTACTTTTGGTAATTTCAATATATCTTTAGCACTTAAAGATCGATCATTAAAAGCCAAAGTCTCATTTGATGAAATTATTAGAGTATTTTTGTACTTTAAAAAAATATAAGAGGAGCTTAGCTATAGGTACATGAAGATAGAATTTGACCTTTTTCATCTATAAATGATCATGATGTAGTGCAGCTAAAAGAGCACGTGAAATGAGTGTCTATATCAGATTATTAGATACAATTGCATAATATTGAAAATAATTTTTAATAATATCAAATATTTGAGTATAAAATAAAAATAATATGAAGTCACTTTTCAACAAGAAATTATGTCACTTATGAAATTAAACACTAATAAAAATTTATCAAATAAATGATATTTGAAAATACAATCATTTATTTGATATTTTGATACTAGTTTTTGATGAATTAAATAATTAACTTTTCATTGAAAAATTGTTTAATATCACTTTTGGTCTATATTTGAATAGTTGGTATTATTAAAATTATGTTCCCTATCATTTATGTAATTTTCTGTAACATTTCTTCAATTTATGAGTAAATAATGGTCATTCGTCCATTTACCTTCAGTATCTTTTGTATCTTTTGTTCGCTCTACCAAACTTATCTGGTATCAAATAGAAAAAGATTGCAACATATTAATATCAATTACATAAATTCACTTTTTATATTAATTATTGGATCATCACTTTTTATGTCTAAATCTTATTAGGTGGACGAAGATATTATATTTCCTGCTCAGTTTTCATTATGTATGATAGTCGTTTAATTATATAAGTAGCTCTTTTGCATTTTCACAAAAAAAAAAATCATTTAACGAAAAATAAAATCAGTGTTTACGTACCTAAACATGATAATGTAGATGTATTAAAATATTACATCTACATTTTGGAAGATGAAATATGATTTACTTTTATTTTTGAACGGGTGTTAGTGTTACTAACCTTTACGTACATTTCTTTTAATTTTAATTTCTAATCAACTATGTATGCACCCTTGTTCCACTCTTGCCCCTAAAAAAGTAAAAATAGCTATCCGCGGTCACAAAAAGGTTCCTGGAAAATTTCAGAATTTTTTTCCAATACTATTTTGTGAATATTTGGTGGAATAAGTCACAATTTTTTGAGCAGTGATATTGGTGGCATATACCAAACTAGTAGTGACATTATGAATTTCCAATTTTATTACATTTTTGTCCATGCATAAAATAGTCAGGTTTTATCATATTTCTTTAAATTTAACTTCAATATAATACTCCCTCCGTCATGTTGAAAGATTCTCATTTTCATTATTAGGGTGTCCCGTTTAAAGGTTATCATTCCATTTTAGGAAAAAAGTTTTTCTCTTTACTTATATCTTAATTCAAATTTCTCTTCCTAACTCATCTCCCTTTAATTACATTTACTTTATATGTTTTCAATTTCTAAATTTTCTCTTTCCTCCCTTTTTTTTTATAATTACCCAAATTAGTTTATTTAACTATTAAATCGTGCGGCCATTTACCAACGGGAACTTTCCAACAGGAAGGAGGGAATAATATTTATGGGAAACCCCATACATACATATATACAAACTACGTTACAGAGTATATATATGACATAGAAAAATATTACTCATGAGTTTTGAGTAGAAAAATATAGAAATTGAAACCCTAAAACTGATGTGATCACGACATTGGGCCGGGGTTAGGCATTGGGAGATGTGGCCAATGCTAGGTTTGTCGGGGGTGACAGTTTCACTGATTATGTATGATGGTGCAAGCAAAATTTGGGTGGCATTTAGGTTTCTTGTGTAAGGTGCGACAATTGGGGACGCTGGGAGGGGGCTAGGGCTAGGGAGCTGTGGAGCGCGGATGGGGATGGATCATGAGGAGTCTGGTTATTGGGGGTGGGGGGGGTGGGGTGGGGTGGGGGGTTAATGAGGCGGTCATGTGGATGTGGAGGTTGGTGTGGAGCAAAACGTATCGGCAACCACATACAGGATGGAGCAACGACGACGATCACAAGCAAAAAGGGCTGGGGTGATGCTCACAAAATTAGGCAGAGTGCGGGACATTGACTAACAATGACCATTTCTTTTTAACAGTAATTAATTGGACGACGGTGGTCACTGCTACTGGCGGTGCGTACTTGCTTGCCTGGTGATGGGGATTGTGGTTGACAGTGGTCATGCATTGTGGCCAATGACCGTCAGTGTAGAACAATGCTCATTGTGGTCGACAAGATCACTGGCGGAGGTAGTTACTGGGGGCAGTGGTCATTGGTCGGCTTTGGCGGTTAAATAGGGGCATAGCGAGGAGCATAAGTTAGACTTGGCCGGTATAAAGATTTTTTCACACACATGTTTACCTATAAAATACAAGTATTTGATGGCGGTGATGGGGCCCGTCCAGGTCCTCCCTTAGCTACATCCTATTGGCAATAGTCATTGGTGGCTCAGGTGGTGAGTATCAATAGGCGAGGAGTACAAAAGCCCTGAAATTTACTTTTTTTTAATATTTTTAAAAGAAGTCTTATTTTTGTCTAAATTTTTCTTTTAGAAATATTGATATCAAATCCTCTATATGAGTATATGACTATATATTTTATTTTTAATTTTAGGATGTACTCCATATCTATTAGTACCCCCGTCTTGAAAAGGTTTGACATATTGATTTTTCTTGGTCAATGATGACAAGTTTTGAACAATGATTTTAATTACTCCGTATTATATTTGTATTATCGTATACGGAGTATAATTTATAAATTTATACTTTTATGAAAATGCTTTGGATAAGGAGAATTTTGATATAATTTTCATATTCAAAATAATTATGTACTACGTATTATTTTACTACATAAAAATATCATTGGTTATAGTTGATTGTCAGCATTGATCAAGAAAAACCATTTTTGCAAACCTTTTTAAGTTTTTGAGACAGAGGGAGTATAATATATGTACGTTGTATGATACTTAATAATGTATAATTGTTCACTAACATCTTTGATTGAGATGCGATTTGAATTACAACTCTCAATTCTCATTTGAGAGTTTTATAATAATGGCAAGCTAAGTTATACCGTGCAAGAAGTACAGCCGGTTGTACATTGGTCACCGTACAATTGGGTATTTTACATTAAAAGTAATGAGTTTATAACGTTTAAAAGACAAAAAAATTACTATCAGCTTCTTCTTATACATAAATATGACTGGTTTTTTATCTAGACAAAAATATGGTCGTGTAAATACAATGACAAAAACCTGAAACCCTAAAATCAACTCCACTCCTGATCCGAGCGTCTCTTCCTGCGCAGGTGTAACACCCCCAAATTTCCCACCCAAAAATACATTTGAATAATGATTTATTCAAAGTAAATAATGATTTATTCGAAAACATCAGAGTCTTGCGGCGGAAAATCAGAGGGAAACAGGGGCGTTACCGCCACACTCGGTTCTCACATAACCGAGTGCACAGGCTATCCACCACCAAAATTAAAATTTCTCGTAATTAGTTGTTCAACTACAATTGTTTAAAATTAAGACTAAAATAAATTACTCAATCACTTTAGTCTATGTGTTCTAGCGGAAGCTCTCGAAATCAACTTCAATATGATCCTCAATTCCTGCACAAATAAAGTACAGAAAGAAAAACACAAAGAAACAAAAATTAGCTGGAAATGCTAAGTAAGGCCCACCCAACCCTGTAAAATAATCATGTTTGATACATATATATCATTTTGTGAAAACATTTGGGAGGAAACCTCATGAAACATTTTATACAAACTTCTCATCACAAAATCACATGTAAAATAATAATATTCCAAATATAGGTACATATTTCCAAATCATAATAGTTCTAAAAGGTCAATATACATAAACCACCAAAATCCTCGTAATTATATTCCAAAACATAAATCATATGTAAAGCCCAAATATTCATCTCAAAATACTTCCAAATACTCATAATCAATATTCAACATAACCATATCAAATCAAATTAATGAGTATTACTTTGAAAGTCTACAAATAATTTAATAATCTCAACCACATCAAATTCAATCCAATCCAAACAAATATAACCCACTCAAATAATCCAATATAATGTAGTTCAATTCATCTCCATCAAGTCCAACCAAATAATCCAAATCATCTCAAGTAGGGGTGGGTTCGGTTCTTGCGGTTCGGTTTTGACCTAAAACCAAATATAGAATCGAAGTAAAAAGTTCGGTTCGGTTTCGGTTCGGTTTTACACTCCAAAACTTGGAACCACGGTTTGATTGGTTCGATTTGTTTCGGTTTGGTTTTTGCGGTTTTTTACCAAAAAATTCTCACTTGATTTAAAATTGATATATAACTTAGAGGGATCAAACATTCAAACATATTACATAAAGAATGCAAGCACAATACAATAAAAAATAAAATAAAAATGAGAATAGATAAATATGTCTTGAATTATATGAGAATGTGAGATAGATAAAACTGTATATATTATTGATTTAATTTGTTTGTGAGTAGTTCGAAAAAAGTTCATGAATATATACGTTATATGTGATATAGTTGAGATGAATATTTATTGTTTTATCAATACAAAATCTTTAAGTTATCTAAAAATAAAAGTTAATTACTACTAATAACTAGTAAACACATATTATCATCATTCAATATAGTTACATTATTACAGACAATGAATGTGTAAATGAATTTATAAACTAAATTAAATTAAACATAATACAAACATTATTTCTCTAACACCAGAAAACCAAAGACTATTGATGATTTAAGATTAATTAGAATTAATATTTAACAATTAACATATAAATTTCATATTTTAAATAGTTCGGTTTGTTCGGTTCGGTTCGGTTTTGAAGGGTAAAAACCAAAACCGAACCAAACAACTTCGGTTCGATTCGGTTTTTTACATTCGGTTTCGGTTTCTTAGCGGTTCGGTTTTATTTGGCTGCGGTTCGGTTTAATTTGATTCGGTTTTCGGTTTTCGGTTTTTCGGACCCAGCCCTAATCTCAAGTTCAATCATTCAAACTCAACCAAATCCAATGGAAGCCGAACTCCTACCTTAAGTGTGCACACCCCCTAAAAGAGATTCCAAGCTCTCCGGGTAGTAAAAAGTCCGAGTAGTCGGGATTTTTCTACCGACTACTACAATTAAGCTGGGATGCTCCGCTTTTGGGAGATCCCTGGTGGAATTAGACTTATAGTCATTACCACTCACCAAATCCACATTTCTCCGGGTACTCACAAAATCATAATTCAACCTCAAAGTTCAAGTATCATAACCTCAATCAAAATGGATATGAAATTCGAATTCCACAAAATTATTCACAATAAAATTATTAACTCCAACTCATCATACTCAAATATACCATCAATAGTCCAAAATATAGGATACTTCATAAATAACTCAAATCTCAAATCTCAATCAAATAACAATTCATATGTAAATTCAAATGCTCAAAATATCACCCAATATAAAATACTCAAATCTCAAATATATATAATTCACAATCACAATTGATACGTAAAATCTCATTAACTATCATATACTCAAATGATCTCAAATAACTAGTCACAAATATATTTATATGGGAAAAGCATGAAATTTGGTTGACATAGTACTTACCTCGAATTGTGATAATTCCTAACCGAAGCTTTAACCTCGATCTTCACCAAAATTCACCTTCTAAAATATTAAAATTCTAAAATCAATATCTATCAAATTTATAGTTATACTCCTCCACCCTTTATAAGTTCTGGCCACCCCTTGTAATTTAACTACTTCCAGTAAATAGTTTCTATAATGGTCGGTAATAACTTACACATCCATTTTGTTATGGTCTAATTATTATAGACAATTTATTGAAATGACAAATTAATCTAAAAGATTACAAATTTATAGAGCTATCAATATTTCATTAGACCATATGGTCATTTTAATCTCGGCCAGCCCGATTCCAGTTACCATAGTTTAGCCCCAACATGTTATTATTATTATTAATATATAGTTATTGTTAATCTCATTATTTTTCATTTAGCTCAGGCCATTTTCTTATTCCTTGAACTATTGTGAGGGTTGAACAGTAACACAAACAGCCCATCCTAAACCTTCTAATTTCTCCTTCATTCCTTAATCAAACAGTTCGGCTCATTTAAGTTAATTACTTTCAGCCCCAATTAATAAAATTTCAGCCTGTCAAAATTAATACGGAGTAATATGATTTGCGTACAATAGGCGGTACCTCCGGTGACTCGTTCTCCGTCGTGGGAACGGTCTGGTCGGCAGCGACCCACCGGTGTGTCCTCTTCCCCGGCGACGTCGAGAGGGATGCTCAGATAGTAGTTTGGTCTGGCAGTTAGTTCCCTGGTGCAGCAGCTCCTCCCGTTATAATGGCGGCACGTTCAAAGCTTATTCTCCGGCGAACTCCGGCCAGCTTTTTCCTCCCTCTTTTGACGATCGTTTCTCTCTTTCTCACTTTCTTTTGTTTAGTTGCAGAACGTGAATATATATCCTTCAGACGTATATTTATATGTCGATGGCCTTAGTTTGTATATGTAAACGCAGATCGACGTAATAGTCCTATATATAATTATATAAGCAGTAGGAAGGTTCCACGTCTGCTAGAGTAAAATTATGACACTAGGAAATTTTTGTGGTTGTAGTGCTTTACCTAGCTGGTGAGAGATGCATGTACGTACATGACATTCCCATGTGGGTGTCAAAATAAAATGATACGGAGTAGTATATATGATAATAATAAACATGGACCTGCAAATATATTCACACCTTCCCGGGTCACAGAGCACTGCAAATACATGTGCATCTGTACTGCTAAGTACACACTGACCTTCCCTTATCAAATTGCCAGATTGGTTGGACGATTCCCGCATTTGTGCTTGTCACTCCACGTGAGTATGTGTGCCTTGTACGAAGTACCTTACTCCATGTCTTATTACAACTCTTTTAGTATTGATATTTTTGTGTTGTATTTATGTGTACTTTGGTACATATATTAGTACCCCGTATTTTTGAATTAAGATCGTCAATATGCACTTTTATTCTTTATATCATTTGTATAATTATAACCTATTACAAAAATGTTACTTTTGTTATTAAAGTCAAGGTCTTTTCTGGTCAACATAGTTATTATAAAATGAAACATTTTTATCTTATTAAAAATGTCACTGATGGTAGAATTTTATCTCATTCACTTAATTATTAAATGTCACTTTCGTAACATTTTATCCGACTGATATAATTTATATATATATGTTTTAAAATTTTCGGGGTGTCACATTCTACCCTCCTTAAAAGATGCTTCGTCCCGAAGCATAATCTAAGAAAATATCCACATGTGCAATTAGCAGATATTACATCTTAGTTAATATTAATTTTTTTTTTTAATTTAAGGAGTGTCACATTCTACCCTACTTAAAGGAGTGCTTCGTCCCCGAAGCACTTACTTTACTTAAGAAAATAGATTACTCATTCAAGATCAGAACAATACATAATCTTCAAACCGAGTTACTAATTTTGAAAATAAGAAATTTTATATGATTTCGCCTACTATTTTCGGATTCTTCCATTGTGTTTTGCAGTCTTTCCATGATGATTGAGTCCACGAGTTGGAGGGATTCCCTTCTTCCTTGAATGACACTGGAACACCCTATGTCCCAGCTTGTCACAATGAAAACATCGTACGAGTGTTCCGTCACAATATTTCCCAGGGTGATCTTTTCCACACTTCGAGCAGTAGAAGTGCATCTCTTTAGTTGAGTTCTTCTTCTTACGCTTCTGGTCTTGGCCTTGGTTTTTGATCTTCTTCCCGTTCCGAGTGTACCCTAGCTGATTTAGCTTGCGTTGTTTCCCTCCTAGTTTGCTTTCTCCTTCAGTCCCCTCCCTCGCTCTCTTGAGTGTTTTCTTCTGGAGTTGTTGCACTCGATAGTGCTTGCCAGCTTTGTTGTAGGCATCGTTCAACGTTTGGCATTCTGAAACGCAAAGGGCTTTTTGTGTCTCAAAGTTCAGACCACGTATAAACTTATTTGTTTTCTCGATTTCATCGGGAACTAGCGTGGGAGCAAATCGTGCGAGATTCAAGAATTTAGCGTGATACTCTTGGACAGTCATGCCTATTTGCTTCAAGTGTAAAAATTCTTCATACTTCTCAGCTCTCAGGTGCTCTGGGTAGAATCTTTTTCGCATTGCCTCCTTAAACGTCTCCCAAGAAAAGTTAGGTTGTTCACGTATCGTTGGGGTAGTCGTGGCCCACCAATTGTCCGCCTCTTGACGTAGATAGTACGCAGCTGTATTAATTCGTTGATCTGCAGGGCAATTTATAGCCTCGAAAAGTTTATCGAAAGTGCGAATCCAATCCTCAAGGATAAGAGGATCTTCTTGGCCTAAATAGCACGGGGGATTGCGCTTCGCCACGAGTTTTGCAACATCATTGCGGTTTTTGAGACGTTGTTGGTGTTGATTCTGAATTAACACACTCCCAATAGTCTGGATGAGTTGAACCATATTTTGAGCCAACTCCGTATTCGTCGGTGCGGCGATATTGTCTTCTACTTTGGTTCTCGTTGACTTCATTGTCTACTTGAAAGAATAATGTTTGAGACACAAAGTATGTCAATGACATTAACAATTATACTACCTTACCGAATAAATCACTACTCACATAATTTGGTAAGTTCCTCTAAGAGTCCAAACTCATTCTCAAATGAGTCAATAATGATATATCTCATATAAGTATAACTCAAATAATTCAAAGAACCATAAACTTTACCAAAACAGAAACTCAAAATCTCACATTCTCACCACGATCCTGAGTATAATATTTCTTAGTCCAATTATGATTCCTATGTTTTTTTTAAACACATTTAGAAAAACAGGTTTAAAAAAAAATTATTTTTAAACACTTGAAAAAAAAAACTTCTTGTAAAAATTTCAATGCGTTTTAGAAAACAAAAGCTTTACACCAACTCGTTGGTATCACTGATTGGAGTTTCAGAAAATTTTAGAAAACGTTAGTAACTACTCCTTTTAAAAATCTTTGAAAATTTTTATTTGAAAATCCCCATTCGAAAACCGTAGGTTTTGATACCAATTTGTTGGTATCACTTAATAGAGTTAAAAAAAGATCTGACAAAAATGTTTGAAAATCCCATTTTAGAAAAGAAAAGGCTCTGATACCAATTTGTAACACCCCCAAATTTCCCACCCAAAAATACATTTGAATAATGATTTATTCAAAGTAAATAATGATTTATTCGAAAACATCAGAGTCTTGCGGCGGAAAATCAGAGGGAAACAGGGGCGTTACCGCCACACTCGGTTCTCACATAACCGAGTGCACAGGCTATCCACCACCAAAATTAAAATTTCTCGTAATTAGTTGTTCAACTACAATTGTTTAAAATTAAGACTAAAATAAATTACTCAATCACTTTAGTCTATGTGTTCTAGCGGAAGCTCTCGAAATCAACTTCAATATGATCCTCAATTCCTGCACAAATAAAGTACAGAAAGAAAAACACAAAGAAACAAAAATTAGCTGGAAATGCTAAGTAAGGCCCACCCAACCCTGTAAAATAATCATGTTTGATACATATATATCATTTTGTGAAAACATTTGGGAGGAAACCTCATGAAACATTTTATACAAACTTCTCATCACAAAATCACATGTAAAATAATAATATTCCAAATATAGGTACATATTTCCAAATCATAATAGTTCTAAAAGGTCAATATACATAAACCACCAAAATCCTCGTAATTATATTCCAAAACATAAATCATATGTAAAGCCCAAATATTCATCTCAAAATACTTCCAAATACTCATAATCAATATTCAACATAACCATATCAAATCAAATTAATGAGTATTACTTTGAAAGTCTACAAATAATTTAATAATCTCAACCACATCAAATTCAATCCAATCCAAACAAATATAACCCACTCAAATAATCCAATATAATGTAGTTCAATTCATCTCCATCAAGTCCAACCAAATAATCCAAATCATCTCAAGTTCAATCATTCAAACTCAACCAAATCCAATGGAAGCCGAACTCCTACCTTAAGTGTGCACACCCCCTAAAAGAGATTCCAAGCTCTCCGGGTAGTAAAAAGTCCGAGTAGTCGGGATTTTTCTACCGACTACTACAATTAAGCTGGGATGCTCCGCTTTTGGGAGATCCCTGGTGGAATTAGACTTATAGTCATTACCACTCACCAAATCCACATTTCTCCGGGTACTCACAAAATCATAATTCAACCTCAAAGTTCAAGTATCATAACCTCAATCAAAATGGATATGAAATTCGAATTCCACAAAATTATTCACAATAAAATTATTAACTCCAACTCATCATACTCAAATATACCATCAATAGTCCAAAATATAGGATACTTCATAAATAACTCAAATCTCAAATCTCAATCAAATAACAATTCATATGTAAATTCAAATGCTCAAAATATCACCCAATATAAAATACTCAAATCTCAAATATATATAATTCACAATCACAATTGATACGTAAAATCTCATTAACTATCATATACTCAAATGATCTCAAATAACTAGTCACAAATATATTTATATGGGAAAAGCATGAAATTTGGTTGACATAGTACTTACCTCGAATTGTGATAATTCCTAACCGAAGCTTTAACCTCGATCTTCACCAAAATTCACCTTCTAAAATATTAAAATTCTAAAATCAATATCTATCAAATTTATAGTTATACTCCTCCACCCTTTATAAGTTCTGGCCACCCCTTGTAATTTAACTACTTCCAGTAAATAGTTTCTATAATGGTCGGTAATAACTTACACATCCATTTTGTTATGGTCTAATTATTATAGACAATTTATTGAAATGACAAATTAATCTAAAAGATTACAAATTTATAGAGCTATCAATATTTCATTAGACCATATGGTCATTTTAATCTCGGCCAGCCCGATTCCAGTTACCATAGTTTAGCCCCAACATGTTATTATTATTATTAATATATAGTTATTGTTAATCTCATTATTTTTCATTTAGCTCAGGCCATTTTCTTATTCCTTGAACTATTGTGAGGGTTGAACAGTAACACAAACAGCCCATCCTAAACCTTCTAATTTCTCCTTCATTCCTTAATCAAACAGTTCGGCTCATTTAAGTTAATTACTTTCAGCCCCGATTAATAAAATTTCAGCCTGTCAAAATTAATACGGAGTAATATGATTTGCGTACAATAGGCGGTACCTCCGGTGACTCGTTCTCCGTCGTGGGAACGGTCTGGTCGGCAGCGACCCACCGGTGTGTCCTCTTCCCCGGCGACGTCGAGAGGGATGCTCAGATAGTAGTTTGGTCTGGCAGTTAGTTCCCTGGTGCAGCAGCTCCTCCCGTTATAATGGCGGCACGTTCAAAGCTTATTCTCCGGCGAACTCCGGCCAGCTTTTTCCTCCCTCTTTTGACGATCGTTTCTCTCTTTCTCACTTTCTTTTGTTTAGTTGCAGAACGTGAATATATATCCTTCAGACGTATATTTATATGTCGATGGCCTTAGTTTGTATATGTAAACGCAGATCGACGTAATAGTCCTATATATAATTATATAAGCAGTAGGAAGGTTCCACGTCTGCTAGAGTAAAATTATGACACTAGGAAATTTTTGTGGTTGTAGTGCTTTACCTAGCTGGTGAGAGATGCATGTACGTACATGACATTCCCATGTGGGTGTCAAAATAAAATGATACGGAGTAGTATATATGATAATAATAAACATGGACCTGCAAATATATTCACACCTTCCCGGGTCACAGAGCACTGCAAATACATGTGCATCTGTACTGCTAAGTACACACTGACCTTCCCTTATCAAATTGCCAGATTGGTTGGACGATTCCCGCATTTGTGCTTGTCACTCCACGTGAGTATGTGTGCCTTGTACGAAGTACCTTACTCCATGTCTTATTACAACTCTTTTAGTATTGATATTTTTGTGTTGTATTTATGTGTACTTTGGTACATATATTAGTACCCCGTATTTTTGAATTAAGATCGTCAATATGCACTTTTATTCTTTATATCATTTGTATAATTATAACCTATTACAAAAATGTTACTTTTGTTATTAAAGTCAAGGTCTTTTCTGGTCAACATAATTATTATAAAATGAAACATTTTTATCTTATTAAAAATGTCACTGATGGTAGAATTTTATCTCATTCACTTAATTATTAAATGTCACTTTCGTAACATTTTATCCGACTGATATAATTTATATATATATGTTTTAAAATTTTCGGGGTGTCACAGCAGGTCTCGCCAACTTCTTAGATCCCGCCGCCGCTTCACAATCGCCGTTGTCTCTGCTGCCGCTTTGCAATCGCCGCCGTCTCCGCTGCTCATAATCGCTGTCGCAGCCATCGCTTCACAATCCTGTTGCATCTCCCTTCTTCTTCCATTTGTAATTGATCCCATCGATCTGGAGAGCAGCGACCTTAGATCTGCTCGACTCGAAGAGCGCCGCCGCCTATTGATCTAGACCAGGAGACCTTCGACCTGCTTCGACTAGGAGAGCACCGACACCTATGGATTTGGAGCAAGAGATCTTCGATCTGCTTCGATTCGGATAGCTCACGCTGACGCTCATCGATCTAGAGAGGAAGCGGCCCTCGACGATGTCCTGCGGCTATGATTTGCCTAGAGTGACATGGGGGAGTTGAAGGCGCGGCGGCTAACAGAGGTTAGGGCAGAGGGTTGGGAAGGTGGCCAGGGGTGCGAGTGGCGAAGAAGGTATGATTGTGCGAAATGATGAATGGGGTAGTGTGAGGCAGTGTTGGGATGGCGGTGTTCGGTGGCGGTGGTGGTCACAATGGTTGACACGGGATGGAGGTTTGTTGCTTTGGTTGGGGAGTGGGGTTGAGGTCGGTGGCTTGTGGTGGTCGGAGTCACTGGCGAGGTGTAACTGTGGAAAGTCCGGCAGTGGGACAGGGGTTAGTGATGGGGCAGGGGACAGAGCTAGGGCAGTGGTGGTGGTGGCTAGGGTGATCGAGGATTGCGACGGAGCTAGGGTATGATGCTAGGGATGGATATGGGACTGGGGAGGGGTAGTGGTGAGGCGATGGTGGTTTCCGAAAGGGGCTTTGACGACGTTCACTAGATGATCTGAACGGCAGTTTTTGGTTAGGGTACTGGGGCAAGGTCTCCGAAATGACTGGGAGGTGGCTGCAGTCATGCGAAGGAACAGTGTGGCGGCGTCACCGTATATTACGGGTGGCGGTGGGATGAGGACCGGACAGATGTCACTAGACGAGTGACTATTTCACCGAACGGGCATGTAACTACGGGCATGTAACTATGACCCAAGAAATGTAATTGTCACTAATTGTAATTCATACAATTGTAGTGTTAGTCAGTTCGTATAATAATATTGGTCACTTTTGACATGTAACTGAGGAATATAATTACGGAGTATGGTACTAGTAACTGTGATATTTGTCACTGTAACGTTGTCACTGTAACATTGTCACTGTAGCCGTTTACTGTAGCTGGTCACATTTTTGGAAATTTTTAAAAAAGGTCACTTATTTGGAATTGAGTTCATTTTTAGTAATATTAATTGATGTCCTTATCTCAATGTGTATTAGTATTGAATTATAAAATTAGCAAATAAATATTTTCATAATAATACAATGATAATATAGTTAAACGAATAAGTTGATTTGTATCATATATATATATATATATATATATATATATATATATATATATATATAGGTTTGGTTCAAATAAGAACACTTTGAACATGGACATCTTATTTTATCACCACTCATATAAGCCGGATGTTCAAGTGCAAATTCAATAAATTCCCCGACTCCCTCGAGAAAATTTGATTGCATTCCGTACAATACCGCATCTTTATCATACATCCAACTTCTATTTTGTTTATACATTATGCCTGAATATTATAATAAAAAATTATATGAAATGCAATGCACACAATTTTAAGTAATTTATTTCACTAAATATAATCAACTAATTTTCACTTTTTTTAAATGAAATGCACAGAATTCACAACAATAATGCACAAAATATATGTCCCCTAATGCACAATAATGCAGATAATTTCACTAAATTAAACATACGTTTAATTAAATCTAACTAATTCATTTAGTTAAATTTAACTAAATTTAACTAGTTCATTCCGTCCCCTTTTAATGCATCACTACGTTTAAACCTACGTTTAGCTACCTAATTTAACTTAATTAACACATCAATAGCTACGTTCAAACCTACGTTTAGCAAACGAATTTTAATTAAATTATTTTTGTAAACCTACGTTTAGTTTAAACCTACACTAAATTATTACGTTAATGACATTTAATCTTATTAGTAATACACAATTAACAATTCACTAAATTAAATAATATGACCAAATTCAACCCAATAATTTGAACATGTATATAAAGTTATTTGAATTAATAAGCAATACACAATTCACAATAACAATTCACAATTCACTTAATTAACACATTACTAACGTACGTTATTTGAACTAATTTCACTAAACATAAACATCATTACGTTTTAAACTACGTACATTTAGCTAACTAATTTTAATTAAATTATTTTATAAACCTAAAAGTTTAACTAATTCTAATTTATGACATTACTACGCTTATAGTTAAAACATGTTGTTAATTAATTAACAACCTCACTAATTTAATAGTTTTAATAATTTAAATTGAACCAACTAATTCTAAATAAAAATTATAATTCAAATAACATACCTTATCTGCATAAACAGGAAAAATGATAGAAGATAGACTACATCCTTCGATCTTTCAAACGGATACTGTATATACTGGGAATGAATTGCTGTGGTTCTGTTCAATGAGCTGCTCCTGCATATATAAAAAATTTAGTCACGGACTTAGTCACGGATTTGTCCGTCACTAAGCAAAACCGTGTCCAATACGCGTCCAACACGTGTTAATGACGTGTTAATGACGTGTTAATCAAATTAGTCACGGAACTAGTCACGGACATGGCCGTGACTAAAGTTATCCGTACATAATACCGTTGCACATTAAGTTAAGGGAGTTGAAAAAATTAAAATTTAATTATAGTCACGGGTATAGTCACGGATTTGGCCGTGACTAAGTCGTCGGAGTGAAATAAACTTCGCCGGAAACGGAAACGGGCCTATCAGAGGACTTAAGTCACGGGCCCAGACCGTGACTAACATTAGTCACGGTCATAGTCACGGTCTGGACCGTGACTATTTTTTTTTTAAATATCCGTGACTAGTCCGTGACTAGACCGTGACTAAACTAGTCACGGACCAAATCCGTGACTAAAATCCGTGACTATAACGATGTTTTTTTGTAGTGAACACAGTGCCAAATGGCTAGTGCGAAATCAGCATTAGCACAGAATTTGGCATGGATTGATGTGTTCGTTCCAAATTTGTGCCAAATACCCTATGAATTTTGACAAATCTGAATAAAAAAATCCTTGCCAAATTCGTGTCAATAAATGACTGTTTTTTGTAGTGAACTTTTATGATGTTTCTACTTGGACTGTAATTTGCTGGTCTGGTCTGGTCTGAACTGGTCTGGTCTGGTTTGGTTTCTTTGTATTTTTATAACTACCCAAGTCTCGTCTGGTCTGGTCTAGTGTAGTCTGTTCTGGTCTGATCTGGGACAAATTACAATCCAAGTAAAAACATGCATCCTTACTTCTCTCTATGCCCATGGTCACTTTCAAAGTCAAATTTCATTGGGAAATGAAAGTGAGCGTTGAACCTGATCAGTACGGGCATGTTTGGCACAACTAGTTGGAAAGATCCTTTTGTGAGCTTTTTAATAGCTGTTAGCTTTTAGTGACTGAAAAGATCTTAAAAAGAAAAGGTGGTAGTTGTTTGATAAAAAACTGACTGTTTGATTTAGTTCGGTTTGGTATACAAGCTGTTAGGATTAATTTATACTAAAAGTCACGAGCTTTTCTTAGATGCTACTCCCGGTAGCATCTCAAAAAAGATCTTTTAATTTTTGAAAAGCTCTTAAATATTGTCATGCCAAACACACAACTAGAAGCTTTTAGAAACCTTTTGAACAGTACAAAAGCTAGAAGTCAGAGACTTATGTCCGCCAAACATAGCCTAAACAAACTCGATCAAGAAATTTAAATCTACATTAATGCTCACCAGACTATAACGTTATATGTAGTTAGGGCTTGCTAGTTGTCGATCTTAGTCGTTGCAAGGCATGCAATGTACTTTGTGGCAACTAATTAAAGCTTATAAATAATACTACCTCCGTTCTTAAATAAGTGTAACATGCTAATTTTTACACTATTCACTTGTTCTACTATGACTACATTTTATTTATTGATGTATTAATATATATTTTTGAAAAAAATATTATTAAATTTGTCTCGTTCTAAATTTTCAAAATCTGATTTTTTTTAATTTTTTACTAATAGAGAATTATATATATTAATGGTCAAAGTTGTGTCTCGACATGTAATGCATGTCAACTAGCTAGAACGCATACATCATGTATATTAAATGCCTATACTGAAATATACTTGTAGTCAAAGGGAGATATAGATGTGCATTGAAGATGAATTAGGATAGAAGAAGAAGTACGTAATTACATTATGGATTCTAGGGTTAGTGGGGAGGAAGGGAGTAATATTAATAAGACTAATTAATTAGAGTAGTTTGGAGATTTACTAGTTTTTCTCGAGATAAAGATCACTAATAAATGTAACGGAGTATTCTTTATTAACTACTACTACTATTATATACTACCTCCGTTCTTAAATAAATGCAACACTTTGACTTTTACACTATTCACATGTTCTACTTTGACTACATTTTATTTATTAATGTAATAATATTATTTTATGAAAAAAATATTGTTAAACTTATCTCATTGTAAATTTTCATAATCTAATTTTTTAAATTTTTTTACTAATACAAAATCATTTATATTAATGGTCAAAGTTGTGTCTCGACAAGTGTGAAATGTTGACCGTTGCATTTATTTAAGAACGGAGAAAGTATAAATAAATTAAATAAGCTTTATACTCAGAGTACTTTAGTTATACTCCATAAGTCAACTCGTGATAATGCCAAATAGCAACCAATGTGAGATAATGTATGTTACACATCACTAGATGGATAAGACATTTTTGAACTTTTTAGTAACGCAACACTTGTTCTAGAGCGCCCGTTTGGTAAACTCGAATTAGCATTATTGTGTGACTATGCCGAAATTTATGAAGTTCTAGGTGAAGTGACTGCATTTGCAGATTCTATTGATTTACGGAAAAAAAGTATATTTAATACTCCCTTTGTCCCCTAATATTGGGACGGAAGAGAATGATGTGGTTTTTAAGAAAAGTAGAATTATGTGGTTGATAATAAGTTGATAAAGTGGGAATAAAGTGAGAATGATTTAGAAACACACAATTGTTACCAAATATGGTATGAGACAATAATATAGGGACATCCAAAAATAAAAAAATGGGACAATTATAGGGCGACAGAGGTATTATATTTTATTAATTAAATAAAGAAAAATATTTATGAAAAAATAGCTACAATGTTCATCTACAGTAAGGTCAGCTAATAAGCCAGAAAAGTAACTTGAACCTCACTTTTTCTTATTATTAAACAATTTGCTGCGCGAAATCATAAGTTACTTATTTAATGAAAAAGTTGGCTGATAAGTATGATGAGCCGAAATCTAAGTATGTTTGAGTGATAAAAATCACTTTCATGTAGCTTTTGTAACATTTATAAAATCTCTAAACTCTTAACATTGTAGTATATGTTTATAACAACATTTTTAGTAGTTGTTTTAAATTTGTAAGATTTTCTTAGGCTTTGTTTGTTTTTTGACTTTTTAGTGGATTTTTATGTTTAGCATTTTGACTGAAACGCTGAAAACCAAACATGCCCTTAAGTGTAAGCTACGCGATTTGATTAATGAACTTCTAATTAAGAGGAAGTATGCTACTTATAGACTTAACTGGTCTTAATAGCTTGTTATATCAAACATGAACAGATCAAACAATTAGGGCCCGTTTACTAACAGAAATATTTTCCAGTTTTCCAGAAAACTGGAAAATTGGAAAACAGAAAACAGGAAACGTGTTTACCAAAGAAATTCCTGGAAAACTGGAGAAAGGAAAAAATAAAAACGTGTTTACCAAATCGTTTTTCAAAACGGAAAAAATGAAACATGTCTCTCTTTTTCTTAATGATTTGAAGAAGTGACTTTTACTAGTTTTCCAAATTTGGAAAACACAAATGCTACAGTGCCTTTGCAATGAATTTGCATACTTACACCACCCAGTGGTGGGTCCGGTCCCGCTCCATTGTCGATTCCATTCCGGTACCTCCATCCTCGTACCTTACCCCTTACCCCCAACCCTACCCACCCAACCCCCACCCCGCGTACCCATTTTTCCCTATAATGACCTTACCCCACCCCCACCACATGCCCCGACCTCGGCCCCTCCCCGATCCACCCTACCCTACCGCCACCCCCCTACCACCTCGACCCCACCTCGATCCACCCTACCCTATCGCCACCCCCCTACCACCTCGACCCCACCCCGACCCACCCTACCCTACCCCCACCCCTCGTATATTACCACTTACCCCTACCTTACCCCTTACCACATGCCTCCTACCTCAGCCCCACCCCACCGCCATCCTACCCCCACCCCCACCCTACCCTATCTCAGCCCCACCCGGATCCCGGGCCCACCCTACCGCCATCCTATCCCAACTCCCTACCCTACCTCAACCCCAAACCCTACCCACTACCCCACCCTTACCGCCATCCTACCCCCCACCCCTACCCCGACCCCACCCTACCGCCATCATATCCCAACTCCCTACCCTACCCCTGCCTTACCCCAACCCCAAACCCTACCCACTACCCCCACCCTTACTGCCATCCTACCCCCCACCCTACCCCTTCCCTACCCCACCCTGGTCCCAACCCCACCCTACCGCCATCCTATCCCAACTCCCTACCCCAACCCTACCCACTACCCCCACCCTTAACCCTAACTACGACCCTAACCCACCCACTACCCCTAGACCTTACCACCCCACCCTGACCATACCCCTTATCCCACCCCCATCCATAACTTCCCTACCCCGACCCCTACGAGTAGGTATGGGTGGGTATGAAGGGTTGTGGTAGAGTATGAGTAGAGTGTAAGATCGTGGTAAGGGTAGAGGTAGGGGTCAAGGGTGTGGAATTGGAGAACTGTGTGAAAAAATTGATGAACATGTCTTCAAATTTGAAAATAGAAAACTAAAAAATAGAAACAGGAAATTGGAGATAGAAAAACTGAAAAATAAAAACAGAAAATTGGAGAACGAAAAACAGAAGTAGAAAATAGGAAAATATTTCTGTTAGTAAACAGGCCCTAAGCTTCTAAATGGTTATAATCCTGGATTAAATAACACAAATAAAATGGTTCTTAATTTTGAATTGTGTCCTCACGTGTGTTACGTGTGCAGTGTGCAATAATTTTAATTGGTCAATGTCAATTGATTAATTACTAATATATTGGACATGAAAAAAGTTAAGATGCTTTATTCAATGGTCAATCTTGGAACATTCAATGGTCAGCTGGACCTCCAAATATTGGAAATCCAAATATCTTTATTCAAATATGGTACAAAACGAAACAAAACAAGAATTTAAAAAGTGCAAAATTCAAATAATAATTAATGAGGAAAATGGAAAGACTTCCATAGGGTAAAGCACCCCCACCCCTGACTAGAAGCTAAGAATGGTTTTTAAAAGTATTTTCCTTTCTCGTAAGAAACCAGTCCATGAGCTCCACCTTCCTGAACTCCACCCTCAGACTGTGCTGCTCCAGTTCGAACCTAAATCCATAAAATCAAGCAGCAATAAATCTCGACTGAGTTACAGAGACTCAGATGGTATAAAACTTGGGTAGTAAAAAGCAATACAATTTTAAAATCAGAAATGGCTAGCAAATAGAAGATACGAAAACCAACCTCGAGTCTCAACATGCCCGATCTCAAATGCTGATGGGCTGAATGGATGGAAGAAACACCAATATCTTGGAACCCTTGTTTTAGGGCTTGCATAGTGTATGGTATGAACTTCAAAACAGAACCTTTGTCTTTAACTGTTCCAGCAACCCCCTGAGCAATCTTTAACTTGGAAGTATCACCCAAGTATCTTGCATCACTTCCTTTAGTCATTGCATCTAATGATCCCATTCCTCGATATCTTTTAACTCGTACACCAGCCTACATGTACCCAAGATTTTACTTAAAATGGGAGCATGCCTGACACGACATTATTTTATGCCATAATGATGAACTCCATCAAAAATTATTAAGACCGGACTGCACTTGTATAACTGGTTTAAGATTATAATTAACATGTTGGGACATGAATTATATAAAGGATATAATTGTCCTTTAATTAATAAAGAAGCTGAGTTGGATGTATAACATCATACGGATAAGCAAAATCCTTTTTGGTGAAGATAAGCTGAAGTATGTAGTACAACAAATATGGAATTGGAACGGAAAGGTAGGGAAGAAACCAGAAAGTGGGCAAATTATACAGAAGCTACTCAACTAATTAGTAGATAAATAGAGATGATAGGGTCGATCAGCTCAACGGATTCCTGGCTTGCTGGGGAGTGGACACTTACAATGGAAGACTAGCATATCAGTTTGGTAGCTTTGACTATAATTCTCTATGTATATCATTGAACAGGGAGACAAATCTGGAACCTAAGCTCTAAAATATAGTTGTAATACACAATGAAGTGTAGCCAATATAATATTAATTGATTTAGCTTCTTGTACATTACCCAACAAATTCTGTTAATCTGTTTTTCTTTTATATTGTTTAGATATTACTTAATTTTGCTTAAACGTAACATTCTTAAACAACTGAAATAAACTGCAGGAGAGCATGTAGTTATGATGGACATATCTACTCTAGTAGTTTATCCAAGAATGCATCCTCCAAAGTGAATGCAATATGAATACATACGATGAAAAGCATCATGACTGATTATGTAAGAAATACTACCTCCGTCCCATTTTATGTGTCTTAGTTTGACTTTGCACGGTTATTAATGAAGTAGTTGAAAAAGTAAAAGTTGTGGTTGAGGTTTGAGTATAATAAAATGAAATGGTGCAGACCACATATTTCTTTTCAAAAATGGAAAGGAGACACTTATTTTGGGACAACCCAAAAAGGAAAGTAGGACAGGTAAAATGGGACGGAGGGAGTACTACGTATAAAACATCGGGAATCAACAAAAGGAGAAATCATGGGAATGAAGAGCTACTCATGAACCTTATTATATTCGTATGTGCCAGGAGCTTCACTGCTTCCAGCTAAAAAGCTTCCCATCATAACAGTAGATGCCCCTAGGGATAAGGCTTTAACAAAGTGGCCAGAATTCTTTATTCCTCCATCCGCAATGACCGGAATACCTTCCTCCTGAGCAACCGATGACACCTTATACACAGCTGTAGCCTGAAAACAATAGGTAGAAATTGCTAATATATCATTAGGAATTAAAGATCCGCATAAAAATAGCAAATGATACACTACTCCATTCCATCAAAGGATTCATGTTTCAAAAGCTATTTTTTGTCGGGGAAAAAAACACTGTGATGTTTGAGAAAATAAAGATAACTTTTGACACAGTTTGCCAAAACAGAGTAGCAAACAGGTTTATCGCAACGACATCCAAGCCTTAGTCCCAAAAAATATTGGGGTAAGCTCCAACCCAACGACATTGTCCCATTTTACAGTTGGCATGCCCCATTTTTATTGTCTCAATGAATAGCATTACCAACACGAATAGAGAACAATAATGATGTTTTAATTAAAATTTGTGCCAAATGTAATATCTCTGGGGGTAGAGTATGTATCATTGTATCATGAACTAACTGAACTATCAAAAAAGTTTTAAAATGGCACGTAGCATAAATGATTTATAATAGTCGTGTCTTTCCAAAAAAAAAATAGGCGTTGAACAAACATGACTCTTTTTAAGGAATAGAGAGTAATTCTTCACCTAGTAGGCTGGATAACCGCATTATAACACAAATGTTGATGAAGTACTTATACCATTGCATTCAGATGTGTAAATTGATAATAATGATAATAATAATAATAATAATAATAATAGTAATAATAATAGTAATAATAATAGTAATAATAATAATAATGATAATAATATTAATAATAAAACTTCACTTACTGAAAAAACAAAGTTGTGGGAAATGATAAAAAAACAAATCCAAATTTTACCTGACCACGTCCAACAGCACAAACTTCTTGTGTGGTACAGATGGAGCCAGATCCCATCCCAACTCTTAACCCATCAACACCAGCCCGAATCAAACCCCTAGCTTGATAAGTTGTTACCACATTTCCCCCAATGACATCCAATTCCGGATATGTACGCTTCACAAACTTAACCATGTCCATTTGGTAAAGAGAGAATCCCTGTGAGCTATCAATAACCACAGTGTTTGTCCCAGCTTTAACCAAGTGCTCGAGCCTCTCTTTATCTGATTCCCTTGTCCCTATAGCTGCTCCAACCAAGAACTTTCCATCTGGGCCCAATGATGGCAATCCGAGTTTAGGGAATCCCTTTATACGCTCCACATCACCACTGGTTACCAAATTAACAACTTCTGCATCACTTTCATTCACCAATGGCACATACTCAAGCTTTTCAGCTCCTAGATAACCAGCTACATCTTCATATTTGTAGCTTGACGGCAATGACACTGCAGATTTGGTCATGTAATCTGAAACCCTTACTTCCTTGTTACTCAAAGACTCCCATGATGACCTTGACACGACTCCCAATAGTTTGGACCGCTGAGTCCCTGACTCTGTAACGAATACACAGGGACCTGAACCAAACTCCTCAGCAGATTGGATGGAATCGCCAGGGGAGATGAATATCAAGTCGGCAGCGAAAGGGATTTTGTGAGACTTTACTGATTGAACTATGGACGCTTGTTTGGAAGGGGTGTTGTTAGAGTGGACGATGCCGATTCCGCCAAGAGCTGCCATGGCAGCAGACATTGAGGACTCGGTAACCGTATCCATGGGAGAGGCGACACAAGGCAAGGACAGTGAAATATTGCGGCTTAAGTTAGTAGATAGATCCACAGCATCAGTTGCGAAGTCAATATAACCAGGAAGGAATATGACATCATCATATGTGTAGGAATAACCTTGGCTGAACAAAGTAGAGGCAGGAAATCCATCATCGTAATGAGGAGGAGGTATTCCCTGCATGTCAGTTGCCCTGGAGAAAAAATAAGATCAACTAGTTCGTATACGAGTTCGCATATGAGGTAAGATACATCCGGCTGTACGGGTGGAACCTACGTGGCCACGTAATTCATCGGCCCATGTTCTTTTAACTTCTCCATGCTTCACTTCAATTCACCGGCCCTTTTTCAATTAGGATGTTTTTACTCGGACCGTAATTTGTTCCAGACCAGACCAGTTTAGACCAGACCAGACCAGTTCAGATCAGACCAGACCAGATTTGGATAGTTATAAAAATACAAAGAAACCAGACTTTACCAGACCAGACCAAACCAGACCAGCAAATTACAGTCCAAGTAAAAACATCATTAGTCTCATTCCCTAGCCTTCATCATTCGCTTAACTTCACCGTGCTTTCTCTTCAATTATTTTTTTTTCTTTTTTAAAATATTTATAATTCTTAATTTAAATCAAATTGAATCTTACAAATTTCGAATAAATAATTTAATAAATTATCAATAAATATATCTATAAGAATCATAACATGTACTCCGTATATAATAAATTTTGTAATGTTACATCAATGCGTCGGAGGCTAATATTTTGCTAATATGTGCTCATCACATATTTTGCTAATATGTGATGAGTCGGAGGCTTCTCGCTTGTCATTGTTCGAAGGCATGTGGTGTAAGTTGTTCTTCCGAAGGCATTAATATGTGATTGCTGGAGGGTTCCTCCAAGGGCACAATGTTTTCCCCGAAATATAGCTGTTGGAATAGAGTCGTTGGAGGAGGGGTCCACGTGGCAGGCTCCCGTTGGCTGAAGGCGGGCGGGTGCCACCCATTGGCTGAGGCGGCGGCCCGTACTGATGGGCCTTTAACCCGAGGCCCATACTTCGAGGCTGGGAGTCCTATAAATACCCAAGGCCAGAGGCATTTCCCCTTGTGCGTTTCATAAGCTATAGCGAAGCTCTGCCGAATTTTTAGTGAGAGAAACTCTTTCCTTCGATGACACTCTCTTGTACGTTTCACTCTATAATGAACGCAAATATATTGACTCTCTGGTCTGTCTTGGAAACCCTGATACGCAACAGAAATCACCTATCTCTTTTGCATTAATCTGTTCTGACCAAGTAATAAGCCTTTTTTTTATAAAAGAAAATTCATAAATTCATAAAATTTGCTATCTTTTGGCTAGACAGCAAATTAAAGATTACAGAACAAGGATGCATAGCTGCAACAAAGGCGTTCACTCAACTGAAAGAGTCAATTTTCCGTGTCTAAGTTGTGGTTATAAAAATGCCTTATCTGCAAAAAGGTAATTTATATAACTGTTATAGATGAATGAAACCTGCTATGACTTATAACATTTATATTTTTTCAAACTTTTTTTTACAATGCACGGAACCACATATAATAATGTTATCAGGTTTACAAATGATATTCCATATAAAAATGACAGTGTTCAACTTTACGAAACAAATACTCAACCCTACGTATCTCCAAGGTTTACTTTTTTTCACTTCAATACTAAGACAAATATAAGATTAACTTTTAAGATTAGGCTCTATTTTGGGACATTTTTTTGAAAAGGGTTATTTTTTGTGATGAGGGTAGTGTAGTTTCAAAATACTCATTAGTAAGCAGTATATAGCAAGCCCATCAAAAAGTTCTCCCAACTTCAATGCAATCTTATTATTTAGAAGCGTGAAGGTTGTGATATTCAGGAATTTGAACAAGTAAAATATTCAGGCACATGAAGAACTTAATGGAAGCATAAGGTTATAATGATAATATTCCAATGCAAAAGTCACAACTATTTACATTTTAATAACTGATGATTACTCCCTTCAAAAAAAAAATAACTGATGATTACTAAAACACTACTTGCAAACGCATCATGACATATTAGTTTAAACAACATGAAAATAATTAAAACTTCATATGAAGGTATGGTGTACGTGTTAGTGTTAAAATTAGGATTCAACACAATGCCTACTGCAAGTGAACTACAATGTGCGTTATGTTTAAACACCATTAAGGAAAAATTAGAGCTTAATCTAAAAGTCTATTGTGTACATGCTTGGTGTTTAAATTACATGTATATTAGCAGACATCATAGCCCAATACATATGTACATTGTATCACTGCGTATTGTAAAGGGATGTGAAGTAAGTTTAATCAATACTATGCTTCACAGAACTACCGAATTATTAGGAGTGATATGTGAAGTAAATTGTTATTTCTTTTACTTCAACATAACAATATGACTTGCATATTAACCTTATTGAAATATACTGTATTAACAGGTTTCGGTTGCCAATCGAGATGTTTGATGAAACTGGAGTAATTCATTCAATTTTATTCACTAATGAAGTGCAAAAATTACTCAATTTGATCAACAATCCTAACCCTCCTCATTTGGTCGATTGTGCTGATTTGAATGAAAAAGTGAAGGACCTCACTTTTATTATTGCTGTCAAAACTATACTAAAAAAATACCGAGGGGAATTGAAGAAAAACATAAGCGTCCTATGCCTTTCTCTCCCCAAAAAAGAGTCACAAAAGAATATTGTTTGTAACAATTAATCCAGAAGCTTCAACATCGAAGGTAAAGCGTAGGCTGATTCTTGCTGAAGGGATTGAATCTGATGACAATGCTGCTCAACAAAATGACAACAAAGAAACTGCTGCTATGGCTGCCAAGAACAAGGGCAAAAGACACAAATGTTAGGCTCTTTATATTATTTAGGTCACTATATTATATGTCAATTGCAGTTCTTTGTAAAAACATTTAATTCGAAGTCTTGCACATTTTACTTATAAACCCATGGCTATTATTAACTCACATATATATATATATATATATATATTCATATTTTTAGAGTACTAAGTAAGAGTGTGTAAGGATTGTTATTAAGGTTTTTATGTATTGCATTAAATTTCCTTTTTCACACTACACTTTTAAATAAATACTCCCTCCGTCCCTCATAACTTTGCCAACTTTCATTCTTTGGTTGTCCCAAAAACTTTGTTACTTTCTCTTTTAATCAATCAATTTGTGTCTCATGTTATTTCTTTATCCTCTGTATAAATTTCTAACGCACAGTTTTTAATTTATTATTACACGCCCGGTCAAACATGGCAAACCTTTAAGGGACGGGGGTAGAATAAAGCACTAAAGATTACGTTATATTTAAATATTGGCCCTCTTTTTGTGATAAAAATTTACACTATAGAAAAGTGGTCTATAGTGACACTAAATTAGTGTCACTAAAAGTTTTAGTGACACTTAAAAAGTGTCAATGAATGGTGGGAGTTGTGACACTAAAATTAGTGTCACTGTAAAAGTGTCAGTAAATTATGACACTTTGATATCATAAAATTCAGCGATACATTTGTATTGAAAATGTTAACGACACCTTGGTATCGTACATGATAGTGATACACTAGTATCATATAAGACAGTGTGTGTGTCTATCAATACTCTATAGATATACATACTAATGGAATTCGTCTCATAATATAAATATTACTCCGTAGTAAATAATGAAATACCAAACAAGCTTTTTATTAATACTTCAATATAACAACAATCTGTCATTTAAATGCCAATACAATATCACAATATCCAATCAAATAATGTACAAGTACTAAACTCTACTACAAACAAACTATAATTCTTCATAAAAGTAAAGACTTGGTGATATCTTGGTGAACATAATTATCCATCCTCCTTTGAGCCGCACAATCTAGATTTTTTTTTGTCATCTGCAGCAAGAATAACAATAATGATAAAAATAGAGATCAATTTGGTTAACATTAGTTTATAAAATAATAATATATAATTGAGTAGAGGAAAACATAGATTACCATTTGAGCTGGAAAGAGAGGTGGGTGAGCTTCAGAAGTTCGGAGTTCCGAGTTCGGAGTTCAAAACTTCAAATGATCGGAGAAATAAGCTAGGGGCCTAGGGCTGCCGGCGGCGTAGGGGCAACTATGCGAGACTGCAATGGAGAACAACTGTGAGGGAGACTGGCGTTGCAACAGCCGGTGGCATCGCGACTTAAGTGCTTAACGGCATACGCAAGGGCGCAGAGCGGCAGAGTGGAAAAAAACAGCATGCTCGATCTCCGCGTCTCTGCCTTGCTCTATCTCGGATAGCAGGTATCCAACGAAGAAGATGAAGCTTATGGGGAGGCACTGGCACCGGCTCGCACCCCCTGGTTCCGCCCGCACCCCCTGGTTCCGCCCCTGAGTAGAGCCGTTCCTTGTGCATTCTGTCAAGGCAAGTCGATTACTTCTTATTAGTCAGTTGATTGAATTTAGCCTGCACAATTTTTTCCTGCAATGATACAAGCATTAAAATATAAAAGTGAGTGAATGTAATTAGTGTTTTTAATTGCCAACAAAAAAAATTAACGATGTATCACATATTCACATGTGTCTCCAATAAGATATGAATGCCAGCTACTCTGCCAAAAAAGACGGAAATCTTTAGGGTTCCATTTGCTCACCCCTGAACAATGCAGGACTAAACCGGCTAAAGACAAACAGTTTAGGATGGAAAATTGCATACTTACACTAAAACTAATGATTACAAAAGCAATTGCACTTCGAAGTAATACATGGACTTGATACAAGCAAGATAACTAGACCAATGAAATTGTAAATCAAGCAACACTAAACGATCAAACAAACATGAAAAATCATTATGCAAGGCAAGTTCAATGTCACAGTAGCAGAATTCTTAAAAAGGTCTATCTTATTAACGAAGTGAGCCAATCAAAGAACTCAAAGTCATCTTACATCCTAATAGAGAAGCATACCATTGTTCAATAGGGGCAAAATGAAGAAGAAATTCAGAGAAAGGCCAACAACATGATTCACAATGTCTGAACTGATTGTTTATTACCTTTGAAGTATACCAATCAATTTTACAAACTAGTCACTTAAACCTGGAAATATGTAAACCCAAAAGACGTAAGTTAGAATGGAAAGTATCATGAAATAAAAGATACTATAAAAGATATTGTTAGTTCATATATAGTTATGAATTAGTTTTGTAGTTACACATTACTGAAGTGATTAGTTAATATCACTTGATATTTATAAACTAGATATTAATAACTACATATTAACTAGAGTGGAATTACAACAGGTTACCGAAAGTAGTGATAACAAGCATTCCATGCTAGAAAGTTTCCAAGTCCAAGAATCCAACAAACACCCTATCATTCCGCACAACTTTTCCTATATTTCAAAGTATATCCTTAACCAAAACATGTTTTTAACAATTATATATATATATATCAGGCCAGAAAAAAATCATGATGAACCATAAGCCCTGTTGGATTTATGCATGATTTATTAATAATGGAAATATCCAAATAGAGACGTACAAATAGCTTACCTTTTGTTCATTGTTCGATTATGAATAATGGATATACACCAGACTGAGACCTACAAATGGCTTACCATTTTGTTCTTCTGAATTGTCATAATATGATTCTGCCAGAATGTTAACATGAAAAAGAACTCTTTGGTAAAACCTTAACAACACACATAAAGTTAAGTTACAACTTACAAGGGGAGAAGTCTTCTTTTTGGTCTGTTTTCTCTTCCTCTTCACTCCTCTTGTTGAAGTAGAGACGACTTTACAAGTAATGCATCAGTCATCGAGGCTGTAGATGCTTCCAGGAGTAGATGCTTCCAAGACAAGGTTGAGAAGAAATGCCATGAGGCCAACCCAACAAAAACCATCTTCATCCGGCAGAATAACTTGCTTTTTGCTCTAAGCTACAAGTTTGGGATCTTGGGTGACTAAAAACAGTAAAGGTGAATTCAGAACCACACCCGAATCAGCAAATAAAAATCTATAGGCAAGAAAAAACTGAAAATGTTCTTCGTTATTCTCAAACATATAAAAACAAAGAATAATCACTAAATGTTTCCAAGCATGAAAAAGATAAGCTACTACCTCTACCGGCAGGGTCAGGGACTGAAGAAATATTACACTCTTGCTGACTTCAATAACCTCACCCTACTCAATAGGTTTTCTGGTGATGCTCTGAATGTCTTTGATGTGTATGATACGGTGCACCTCAAATCTGGATGGACGGCAACCAAAATCAGCAGTTCAGTGCTAGCTACTTTTCCTGTTGCGATTTAAGAGGTTGACAAAGTTCTTTCGAAATCCATCTTTGGGACGAACATAACCCCAACACCCCAGCACGGATGCTTCTTCTCGCCTTACGAACAACGGAACAGGCAAGCGGAACAGGCAAGCGGAACAGGCAAGCGGAACAGGCAAGCAGAACAGGCACAACGAATGAGGGGAACAAGCAGGTCAATGTAGGACAATCGACCAATCTCTAGAAGAAGATGGAGAAGACGGAGTAAATCTAGGGTTCGTGCGGCTTAGCTCTGGGAGAAAATCGATAGGCAGATATTTTAGTAGAGGAAAGTGGGTTATGAAAAAAAGCAAGTGTTAGTTGTTAAAAAATCTCTGCGCAGACCCGGTTGAACAGTAGTTCCGTATTGAATAAAAATTGTCCAAGCGTCATTATTCAGCAGTGATATTTTTGTGTTAGAAATTAGTGACACTTTTGTGTCGTTAATGGTATTTTATCAGAAAGTGTCACTAAAAAAGTGTCACTGTAAACCTGTTTTTTACTAGTGATTGTATTGTACGGATATATTATATAATACATTGGTTTCAGTTTGCGCTAATCATTACTACACATATGTTTATTTATTCAATAAAAATCTTTTTTCATTACACAAAATAAACAAAAATAGACGTCATATGTTTCAAATTTTAAGATTTGTTTTTTGTTTAATCCTTCGAAAATCCTATATGTGTACTCAAAAACATAAAATGTTAATAAATTATTATATATATATATATATATATATATATATATATATATACACATTTTGTCCCTTCTTCCTTGGTCAAGGGATCGAACCCTGTTTAGATTTTTTATCCATATTTTTTCATTTTGGCCATTTTTTAAGCTTGAGCAGTTACAATGAATTTTAAGTGGTGCATCATTGCTTTAATTTTTTTTTTCTGATTTGAAAGATTTAAAATACCTTAATATAGTCACAATTTTAATTTCACATATATTTGTAAAGTTTAATAGTGACATTTTTGCAATTAATATAACTATTTTCTACATATACTTGTATATCCCAAACTTAAATTAATTCTAAATACATCCCTTTCTTATCTGATTCATTGATATGTTAACATAATTTCAAATAAAATAAAATTGTATGGCTTGTTTGTTGCAGGTAAAGTTAAATTTATAAAGCATTATCATAATTTATTTGTTGAACAAATATTTTGTTATTTGTAATTAATTTTATAATATTTTTAATCTGTTTTATTGTTTGTGACATTTCCGAAATAATAATTTTTTTTTGCAAGTTCGCCCCTACTCACAAAAATTTCTGGATACGCCACCGATTTTAAGTTTAATATAATTCTTATCGGACAAAATTGATTTCTTCATCATGTTTATCTAGTTTTTTTTTAAATATTCAAAATATTGTTTTTTTAAAATAGATACGAGGAAGTACTAGTATTATATTCTTGCCGCCTTAATTTGTCGCAATTGCTGACGCGTACATGCATGCATCCCAAACCTCCGGAATGAAAGGAGGCGACCGTTCACGAAACCCTTCGCGCCTTCTTCCCGCCCTCAAATACCAACGGCAAATTCAAATCATAAGTACGGACTTCTTCATTTCTTCTTCCACCCCATCAACCGATCGAGAGCAATTAAGATGACGAAGAAGAACGGTGGTGGCGGCGACTCTTCTTCATCCGCCCCCAACAGCCCCCCACCACCGTCAAGCCCTCCTAGGAAGAGAGCCCGTGAAGTCTCCGGCCAGACCTCCGGTGCGCAAACCCCACCACCACCACCCCCTCCTCCTGCTCAGCCCGACCGCGTCGCTCCAACGGAAGAAGTCCCTCCTCCACCGCCACCTCCTCCGCCGCCGGTTCCGGTGCCGGTGCCGGGCGTTGAGTGCTCCGTGTGTAGGAGGCGGTTTCACAGCCGGCAGGCACTGTTCGGCCACATGAGGCTCCACAGCAACCGTGGGTGGAGAGGCGCCTTTCCTCCGCCGGTGTTCAGCCGGGATGAATTCGCTGATGTGCAGGCTATAATGGCTGCCGCTCGCGGTGAAGATGCTAATGTGGTGCCGCCGCCGCCTCCTCCTCCTCAGGGCTGTAATGATAATGCTCCTCCGGTTGGAAATGAAGAAGGAGGTTTGCCAGATCTTAATGAGCCTCAATACCGCATTCCCGATCTCAACTTTCCGCCGCCGCCTGCTTAAATAAGCATGCCAGATTGCGGGCATGCATGGAATGATAAGTACGTAAGAATAAAGTTTGGCGCATGCATGCATGCGTATGCTAATACTTAATTTATTTATATTATTGAAACATATATTGGTTTGTAATGGATCATTTATTAATTCAGACTTAAAGGATATCATCCTGTTAAATTATATAGTTGTTGATTCCATTTGCTTTAGAAAATAAAATCAATAAAACTCCATATAAAGTCTATCTTACTGTGTTTTATATGCTGGATTACATGCATGATATACGTGATAGAAAATTATGGATCCTTAATCAAATAAGAGAGGAACTATTATTTCAAAATCAAATGATGAGGGTAGAATAGAAAATTTGGTTTACGTTTTTTTATCAAATTTAGAAATGGGAAACTTATTTAGTTACAGTTGAAAAGAGAATTAGAGTAGTTATATGTTTTTTTATACGAAGAGAGTTTTAGCTATGCACTATTATTATCATTGCATTTAATAAAGTATGATTACACAATAGTTAATTATTTATTACGTAGTACTCGTATATACTAAGTAGTATATTTGTAGGATGTTAAGGTTGTCCTTCATTGTGCTTTGTCCATCATACAACAGCATACATAGTATTCCGTATATCCTTAATTGTGCTTTGTTTATTATCATACAACAATATACATAGTATAGACTTGCACAGCTAGGGTGGCAACTTAGACTCTAGTCCACCCCAAATTTAAAAATACCTTAATTATTAGTGACAAAATTAAATTTCATGTAAAATTTTATATCAAAATGTTCTTTGTTCCTGGCTAGCTCATAACTCAGGCTACACCCTTGGTAGTATAAAAGGAATTTTTATTGCTTCACGAATTAGAGCTTGGTATGTATGATAAGATTCAAATATCTATCTGCATCAAACCCATAGAATTATTCGACAGTAACGTAACTACCTCTTAAATTTTAAAAAATATGTTAGTACATAAATATGGTAGTATGTTAGTATTTATTTTTTGTTTTTTTCAAAAAGATATACGGAGTATATTTTTTTTAAAAAAAAATTATAAATATTTAATTTTTTTATTAGTTTCTTATGAATTGAATTATGTTCTTATGATTTTATTATGAATCTAGATACTTTATTATGAATAAATTCGTTCCTTAGGGGTATTAAGGGTAAAAAATTAATGTTTAGTCTTATTTATGAATGATGTATAGTTTAGTACGTCCTATTTGTGCAATTAAGTTTTCATTTAATCCTATTTAGAGCTAGAAGAATAACACTATTCCAACCAATATCCTTTGAAAGTGATAGATTACAAATAATTTAAGTGACATATGATTTGCATTAACAACAAAGCCGAAAAACTCAATCAACACTCAAAGTAGATAGAAGGCTACTTGATCAAGCCCATAACTAATTCACATGCACGCACCAAAGCTTTAAAATGAAGTTAAATAGTTAATTAAATGAAATGTCATTGGTATGTGCGTTTCTCATCATACAACAACTATAATTACAAGAGAGAGTTAGCCTAGGAGCATTGTGTTTAGGTAAATGAAAGAGAAGTACTGGTCAAGATAAATAATAAGATAGTATATACTACGTATATGACATATATAATTAGACATTGATGGCTCGTTACTATTTTTTAGGTTTGTAGTATTTAATTGTCTGTGCAATTTTGTTTATTAATTTATTTCAATACTATATTAATTAATTTTGTCTATTTTAAAATTAATTTAAAGGTTGTCGAAAATGTTTATGTTTTGAAGTACAACAAAAGATTTTTCAATAAATAAATCTAACGGTGCTAGCTAGTTTTGCATGTTAATTTATATTTGGGGGATTTTACTTTGCACCTCATTTTCAAAATCATTAATTTATGCACTCATTAGCCCAAAAATTACAAAGGAATATAATTGCATAGTCAAATGATTTTTTCCTAAATGTGATGCATAAATTAAAAATTCTGATAGTATAATGTGAAGTCCAATTTCACTCAAAATATGGGTACACAATCAAATTCAATTCCCCTTTTATTTCAATTCATAATTAAAAATTCCTTTAGTTCATTCATTATATATTTTTTCATAAATCCTGAGCAAGGAATTGAGTGTTTAATTAAGTGTATTTAATTGTAATGATCGAATAAACACAATTTTGCAGCGGTCCTATCACCAAACTGCACAACAAATCGTGGTTCTTTGCCGCAGTTCTAGCGTAAAACTACAACATAATAATAACGTAGATTTAATATTTAATTATTATTAGGGACTCCTATTGTAATTATGACATTTATTCTATTATATATATCTGTCAGGGCTACCATTATGGTGAAGCCTGGTCATTATTTTCACATGGTATCAAGAGCCAATTTTTTTCTACCCTAATTTTTTTTCGGTCCCATCATGTCTTCGACCGAGTCTTCCGCCGCGGTTAACACCACCGCCGCCGCTTCAACCGGCTCTAGCGGCGCAACCACCAGTGCCTTTTTTTCCACCACTGCGCCGGTCTTCTCCTCTATCTCCAGTTCTTCAGTGCTTGGATCCCCTCTGCAGTTCTCCAGGCCTGGCGCAGGATTTACCTTGCCGCCGCCGCCTACGTTGTTCCCAACATCCGACGCAGCGCCGTGGGTACCGCCAGTCTTCACGTGGTCCCCCACCCAATATTAAATCTACGTTATTACATAAATCTTGATTTCTTACAACATCAATTTTATATATTAGATCGTATTAGTTTCTTAATTCATTTAAGAAACTAATAGTAGAAAAGTTACACATACAATATATAATTAATTAGATTTATTTAAATTTGGTTCGCACATGTTACTTATTGCTCGTGGATCATACTTGCTTGTAATTTAGTCTTCTAAAAACTAATTTAAAAAATGTACTTTAATAAGTATATAAGTAATATATATATATATATATATATATATATATATATATATATATATATGAGTAATCTTCCGGTCAGGAATTTCCTGACCGGAGCGATGTCCGGCCTCCTCCTTTTGGGGGCCTTCCCGGTGATATTTTTTGCTCAAATGTTTTTTATATGTTCCTCATCAAGTCTAGTTCATCCATACCAAATTTCAGAAAAAAAAATCAATCGGGAAAGTTGTCAAATGATTTTTGCAAGTTAACTGGTCCGGAATATGTATTTTCCGGACCAGTTAACTTGCAAAAATCATTTGTTGACCTTCCCGATTGAATTTTTTTCTGGAATTTGGTATGGATGAACTAGACTTGATGAGGAACATACAAAAACAATTTGAGGAAAAAATACCACCGAGAAGGCCCCCAAATGGAGGAGGCCGGACGGGGCTCCTGTCAAGAATTTCCGGACAGGAATAATCCTATATATATATATATATATATTCATTTTAGTAAATTAAAATATACATAATAATATATCAAGTCACAAATAGATCAAATTACAAAACAAAAACATATTGAGTGAGACCGTGTCATACCAGTCCAATTTATGAGAAATTGAATTGGTTAGATCTGGTCGATTTGACCATATGTTCATACTTGGGTTTCATATTAATAAAAACATGATATCGGATAGAAGCATACTAGACAAATATTATTGTATGTATCATATCATACCAAATTTAAACAAATTAGAACTGAATAATTTAGGCCATAGTAGACACTATGACTATGTTTGGTAGGCATAAATTCATGCTTTCTAGCTTTTGTACTGTTTAAAAAGTCTTTAAAATCTTTTAATTGTACGTTTGGCATGTTAATTTTCAAGAGCTTCTATAAAAATAAAAGATCTTTTTTGAAATGGTATAGTGAGTAGCATCTCAGACAAGTCTGTAGCTTCTAGCATTAATTAGTCTTAACAATTTGTATATCAAACAGAGCTAAATCAAACAGTCAGCTTTTTATCAAACAGCTACTACCTTTTTATTTTAAGATCTTTTCGATCACTAAATATAAACAGTTACTAAAAAGCTCATAAAAGTATTTTTTTCAGCTAGTTGTGCCAAACATAACCTAGAACTATATATGGTACAAGTTAACATGTTATTATAATAACAATAATATAATATTAGTGTTTTCAGAGTAATCTGATCGATTTGAGTTCGCCTGAACTGTTTAATATGATATGATCTACTTTGAAACTAAAAAATCTAACATAAATGAGGCTAAAATGACAAATGAGTGATTATGTTTGTTTTCACTTTTCATAAGTGATCGACTTCTTTTTTTCCTTTTTTACTTTTTTCCTTTTTTATAAGTGATTTAGTTTATAAGCAAACATGCACTCCCTAAGACCGTACCCTAACTCTCTAATCAATAATTAAAAGTTTGTGTGGTGGATCAAATCAATTTTGAGTTCAATATTAATTATTTTATGAAGCACATTTGAAAGACCTAGACATGTCATTTTTCTTTTAAAAAATCATTATACGTCCATATCACTCAATTCACTTGAGACATAGAAGTAGACGTGATTCAGAATCGAATCATATATAGTTGGAATTAAGCTGATAGTATAGTACTCATTTCCTAAAGTCCTTCAATCATAAATGCACCTTAGCAATTAGTGTTGTTTTGAATCCGGCAGTTCCGAGTTTGGTTCTAGTCTACTCTGTGTTTTTTTCTAAATACTTCGTAAGAAAGAATTAACAATAATTTGTAGTATGTGTGTTGCAAAATGTTGCAGAAAAATTTTAAAGATAAATTAGTCATGTTAGTAGTACAAAAAGTGTCATTTAAACACCACAACACAATTCCTAATGAAATTAGCAACATGTAGAGTATGGATTGTACCAGCTCATTTTCATCGCCAATTTGAAATATTTTCTTATACAAAAACATATGCATAGCCATGTTTCATTTGAGGGAGAGATTGTTGTGCAACAACCTTAGGATATCCATTCGATAACGTTCAAATTGATTGAATTTGCTGAAATTGACGAAATTACAACTGAAGCGGATGAATCGGATGAATATGACGAAATTGACCATTTAAGAAACTTTGTATATTTTATTATAGAACAAAAAAATTATACTTGGTATGTAAAATAGCTATAATAGATCTCTTAAGCAATTCTAGACAATCCAGTCATAGAAGTAAATACAACCTTATTTATTTTGACTATTATAATATTTAGCGGGAGAATCATAATAAACATGTTGGATAAAAAAAATTGACTCAGAAATTAGATGATTGAAACATGGTTATCAAACGGGTTCTAAAAGTCAAAACTGTTAATCTAGGGATCTGGAGTGTTTGCAAAACTTAAAAAAGTAAATTTTTTAACTATTAAAAAGTTGAAATAAGTGTTTTCAAGTAAGAGCTTCTACTTAAATTAAGGACTTAAAAAGCTAAAAGCTTTTAGATGCTTAATTTAAGCTAAAAACTTTTTTGGCTTTAAAAGGTGAAATGAGTATTCTCAAGTGGAAGCAGGTGTAAAAGTGCTTAAAGTGTTTGTCACTTTTTCTATTTTATAAAAAAACGAGTTTAATGCACCAAACATTCTCGTGAAATATAAATTTGACGTATTAGTCTCATGCGATTAAAAAATAAGTCAAACTCCTTGTGTTATAGTGCAAAACCCCCATACGAACAAAATTAATTGTTAAATCAAACAAAAATAACCACTCCACAATATTTTTGTATAATTTAGAAATTTTGATAAAGTTACTTGCATATTCAATCATATTATCAAGACAAGTGATTTCGAAATGGTTAAAAAACTTCTTGGAGGGAGTTTTGCGATGAATGTTAATAACATAATGAATTTTATGCATTTTTTAAATCACATGAGACCAATGCAATGAATTATATATCACGGGGAGGTTTGATGCATTAAACTCTATAAAAAAAATATCGGACAATACTAACTTTTTTTTTTCAAAAACACTTTTAAAAAAAAAAAACCATCCTCCGTCCCGTATAACTTTTCTAACTTTCCTTTAGCTTTGCAACTTTCTCTTAAAAATTTCATGATTCATGTTAAAAATTGAGCTATTCAGGCATGTAAAGGCCAATTTGACCGTCTAGCCTAATCTAGGATGTTTTTACTTGAACGGTAATTTGCTGGTCTGGTCTAGTCTATATAAGTCTGATATGTTTTTTTCAAGTATGATTTGGTCTAAAGTGGTCTGGTAAACGTCTGGTCTCTGCGTATTTTATAACTACGAAAGTCAAGTCTATTCTGATCTGATCTAGTTTGTTTGAGTCTGATCTAATTTAATTCTGATCTGATCTAGTTTAAGTTTGGTTTGTTTGACTACCGGTTTTGTGTTGAACCTGAACCCGCGGACAGACGTCGTTAGTAGCCATCCATTTCTCTGGTTGGACCTGCCTCTGGTTTGGGTCTACTTTCTTCACTGATCGCATATCTCCTTCCTGCTTGCTATAGGCTCTACATTTCTCCAATTCCGGATTGCCTTTGCTCGGCCTTTTATAATCTGTACACGTCTGTTACTACCATCAATTGTCTTCTAAGATCTTCTATGTCTTCCTAAACATTATTCGAATCACAAAGTCGGGACCATTTGCATTATAAGTCGTTGAGGTCGATTTCTCAATTTATGTGAGTTAAGAAAATCTTGCAGTCACTGAGATCAAATAATGATGGAGAAGGCAGATCCTGCCCAGAAGCTATATACAAGAATGAGGCTATGGGAGTTTCCGGATCAATATGTTATTGAGCCTACAGATGGAACTTCTGGGCCGTGTTTGGCAATCAATCGGACGGATGCGTCTATGAATTTAATAGGTTTTTTTTCTTCTACTCGGCGTGCTTGTTTTTCTTGTACACTTTCTTGCCATCAGCTCATCAACTAGTTAATCATTTGGTGTGTGCTTGCTTCTTCAGATGGACCACCACTTAGCAGCACGCTCAATGTTCCTAAAACTCAGACTATATTTGGTGTTATTGGGATGCTTAAGTTCGTGGCAGGCAAGTTGGTATTTAATAATTAATACTGAAAAGTTTTTACCTTGCTAGACTATTATCAGAATGCTTGACTATTACTGTGGAAAAGTTTAGTGTATGATATTTCCATTTATTAAATTGCAACATATAGAACTGCTGCAGTGGAAAATAGTACTGTGTATAATACTTCTCGCTGCAATTAGTTCCTACTGTAGAGAGAAAAGTCACTGACAAACCAAAGGAAATGGAAACTAAGTCATCTAAGTAGTTTGGGATGCTCAATATTCTGAGTTGATGCCTTATCGGTTTACCCAGAAATGTATCATTACCAAAGTAACATGGAAACGTGAAACATGAAATGCAAGAAAGGTAACTTCTAAAACAATATAGGATACGAAACGTGGGAGAAACATGTAAATAAAAAAGACATATTTATAACTTTGTTTCATATATATATATATATATATATCTGTGTGTGTGTGTCCATATCGTTTTCCATATAACTTTGCTAATAACCAATGATTAATATAGTCTTCTTGTTCAAATATAGAATATATGGATACATTAGTACATAATCAAATGTAAATTCCAATAAATTTACAGCAACACAACACTACGAAATATCACAAAGATCATTTTGCTAATTTTCTATGGAATAGAACTCGTAAAAAAATTGTCAAGAAATAAAAAAACAGGTACTAATTCCCACTCTCGTAAAAATGGGAAAAAACAGGAACACAAAGTTTCTGAAGCACTAATTAATTAGGGAAACAGGTATGTGAAGTTTTTGGGTTTCCGACATGCTTCCAAGTTTCCAAAATGACAAAGCGTCAGCTGTGAGGAGTTTCTGTGCATCTTAATCATTACACATTTACACTAGATATCAGTTATTAGCTTCCATGCTTCTTAGATCATTACACTAGATATTTGTTATGAGCCACAACAGTTGCCTTGGTGACCCTTGTCTCTTCTTGAAAAGATTGAAGCAAAGCTAATATTAATATGCAATAGGTATGAAGCTAATGAAACATTGAGATTATGTTGAATTGAGTGTTTACAGCATTCCTCCCTTTCAGGATCATACTTAATAGTTATAACAGAACGTGAATGTGTTGGTTCTTACATGGGCCATCCTATCTTTAAGGTTAAATCATTGAAGGTTTTACCTTTCAATCATTCTCTCAAGAGTTCATCTATGGAACAGGTTGGCTTACCTATCTGCTTAACCATCTGTTTTTTAACCTCTGAAAGTGTTGCTCCAACTTGCCTTTGCGTTCCTTGAACTTATATCAGAAAAGAACGAAAGCAGAATTTTCCACATTGCTAAGCGTGGCAGAGAGGACACCTGGCCTGTACTTTTCTTATGATGTTAATATCACATTGAGGTGAATCACACTGATAATAGGCTACATGTTACCTTATTTTCCTACCTACCCTTCTTGTTCTCTGGTGGTTTCTAGGTGTTTCTTATTCATGCTGTATAAGGAGGTCATCTTGGGAGGTTTCTATGTTTCTATATATCTATTTTCATAATAATTGAATTGTACAGTTGACAGTTTTTTTAGCAGTCAAGCGTCTTTGTATTGATGATTAACTATCCATTGGTTTCCTAGCCTTTGGATATGTAAAGCTAACATATATTTTGATTGGAAGGAGGTTACAAACATGTAATGTGTAAGGTTTATCCATTCACAAAATTATACTAGTAGCATTGCCTAGATTCTTTTGGACAAAGAGCTTATACCTTATAATTTGGAGTTTGTTCTAAACGAAGGGTTTTTAATACTTCCTCCGTTCTTTTTTAGTTGCAACGGTCAACATTTCACACTTGCCAACGCACGTCTTTGACCGTAATTATATCTTAATCTCTATTAGTAAAAAAAAGATTAAAAATCAGATTTTGAAAATTTGTAATGAGATGTGAATTGAACAACATTTTTTTAAAATAACAATTCTCATAAAATAATAGCGTAAAATGTAGTCAAAGCAGAACATGTGAATAGTGTAAAATTCAACATGTTGCGATTAAAAAAAAGGAGGATAGTATTTTTTGGATTGCCAATGAAAAATTTTAAGTGGTTTATTTTTTCTGGAGACTTTTCTTATATAGTTTTGTTTATTTTACTCTTGTTGTGGGGGGCGTGCTAGTAACAGTTAAGGATTTTTTTACTTAAGTGTTTACCTAAATGCAATTGTCTTATGTTTTTTTATATAATTATACAGCGTCCCTTAAAGTTAGAAACTTTCTATTTCTATTGCAGTGCTCAGCGGTTACATGAGTTGGGTGAAGAGTCAAAGCTACTTCCTCTTTGGAGACAAGTAGCTTTCCTATCTTACAAGGATTTATTGCTGCCTTGCTGGAATTTCATTCAGCTATTTTTGTTACTTTGCTTGCATGGTTTTGGTTGCTCAAGGCTTCAAACCTTGATTTTTGTTAATCAGTAAATCACTCTGGCACTTCTGCAGGCTGACCCGCGTTTTGTTTGGAACAACTATTTGATGGAAGTGCTGATAGATAACAAGGTCTGATTAATTATTTTAATACTCCGTAATTTACTTGTTGACTCAACTCTTTTTTTTCTTCCAGATCTGAACTCATTGTCTATACAATTTCCTTTTGCAGCTTGACCCATTCTTACTGCCTGTTCTCCAGGGGAGTATCCTTATGGCTAATATGAACTCATTGAGCAACCTTAATATTTCCACCCTTTTCAGTATTCAGGCCTTTGTTTATATTCATTCAATGTACTCCTTAGCTAATCATCAGGTTTCAATAGTTTCCAATCGACCATTGGGAGAGACGTGATTGATGTTACACTGATTGCACGAAGATGCAACAGAAGATCTGGTAATAAGAAACTAAATTCGTTTATCCTACACAATGAAGATATATAGTTTGTTTTTTCTTAGTGGATACATGCTATTTGACCATCTTCTTGTTGCTTTCTTTGCTGCTTCACATGGTTTGCTTGGACACACGTCCACACCACTACACCACTATAATAAGTTACCATTCTATCTTGTGTATACGATAGTCAGGTCATATGAAACTCTCATCAGATTATTATTGCCACTGAACTGGAATTGGGATTTTATTTGTAATATTTCTTTTAGATAAATGGAATTTGAGGCAGTTCACTTTGATTTAGAAACAATTAATAACCATAAAAATGTGAAATTACCTGTGTAAGAACCAGTTTTCTATACAATGGATATCTTTCAGCATATCTGTATGTTTTGATATTCAATTCAAACCGTTCATTTAGGCACTCGGATGTGGAGAAGAGGGGCTGACTCTGATGGTTATGTTGCAAATTTTGTCGAAAGCGAACAAATCATACAAATTAAAGGTTGTATTGCTTCTTTTGTTCAGGTACATTTATTTCATTCTTTTGGGTAAAATATTTTGACACAGGTCTTCGTGCATATTTACACACCATATATTTTTAAAAGTAAACTCTGCAGATCATTTAGCTGCATCCTGCTCTTTACGTTGGTGTAAACAATGAAGAAATGGTTTATGGAGGTTATTTTTATTAAAATTCAAGTGGTAGTAGCTTTAGTTTCCCCGCATGAAATGTCATAAAAGTTTTAACAGGTTAAGGGATTTTAGAATATGGTACTGTTTCTTATTGTGTCACTAATGAAACAACATTTGAACAGTTGAGCCATTTGGCCTTGTCACATGTAACAAGCTTTTCAGAGAAAAAGATGCTAGCCTAGTTTGCATATGGGCATTCTGATTCTATAAGATGCAGCAAGAGTATTTTATTGAGGTGCAAGAGTATTTTATTGAGGTAATGGTATGTACGTGATGACATACCAACCACTCAATTAGAGTTACTAACAGTGTCTTTTGAAAAAGATAAAATATAAAAGCTGTGTGTTGTTCATTACATGGATGTTATTAGTTAGCTAGCACTTGATATATTTTGACTTTTGATAAAGAATATGGTTTTAATTCGCTTTTGAGAAAGAATGCGGTTTTACTTCACTTTTTTAAGTTCAAAAATTCTCTAAAAAACCTCCAAAGCCCCTACTTTGTTCATTACCCGGCTACCCGCCTTTTCCTCTAAAGTCTTCAGCGCTTTCTTACATTTCCACACGGATATGAGTGCGTCCTCGGCTGTGCGCGCATGCCTGCATGGAAAGATAGAGAGAGATGTTAACTATGAAAAAAGAGATCAATCTTAGATACAATGTCCTCACATAGGAGTAAAGGTCACATTGGTGTTCGCTTGATATTATGATTACCCTATTTAGTGAATCATGCTGTATTAAGAAAATGCAGAGCATATTTGTTTATCACATGTTTATTGTAATGATAGTCTCTAGTATTGGATGTGATTTTATCATTTTACTCATTAAGATGCCTTTTGTAGGTCCGTGGGTCAATCCCTGTATTGTGGGATCAGATTGTTGATTTAACATATAAGCCCAAGTTTGAGATAGTCAGATCGGAAGAAGCAGTAAGTTGCACCATAGCTTTTCAATAGCATTACAAGTCTATTACTATGTTCTAATACTAACTGCATATATGTTTTTTACAATATATGCAGCCTAGAGTAGCTGAGCGGCACTTTTTGGATCTAAGGAAGAAATATGGAAACGTTATTGCTATTGATCTTGTCAATAGTGTAGGCTCGTGTACCCTTATCTCAATCTTGTCATGGATGATTGGGTTGATCTCTCTTCCGCTCAATCATTTTCTGTCAGTGAATAGTGTTGAGTAAGAAGATGATTATGTGTCCTTTCATATATATAGGAGTTCAATGAGGCCAATTTGGACAGAAAATATATGGATGTTGAAAATTTAAGAAGTTAGTTTAAGTTAGTGATTGCCACACAAGTTGCATTCTTTTAATATACTCCCTCCGTATTTAAAAGTTTCCTACACTTTCCTATTTGGGATGTATTTAAAAGTTTGCTACACTTTCCCTTTTTTGTAAGTTTTTCCTTTAAAAATACTCAATTACCCTTACTTTTTCTACTTTTTATCTTCTCTTTCTTACTTTTTCACACTCTCTCCTACTTTTTCTACACTATTCATTACCCCTACTATTCTTCCCTTAAATCTTGTGTCAAGACCTAATGTAGGGATCATTTAAATACAGAGGGAGTAACAAACTGAAATAACATATGAAGGATGTAGAGGTTGGATACATAATCATAACAATCTCTTTTGAAATTAATTAATTCAATCAGTTGCTAGATCAATTAATACATGGGTTTTCACACGGTAAGCTGTTGTATTGTAGCGGGAGTCTTCTTGTTTGCTTTTAGATTGTATGTTCTGAGATAATCCTTTTCAACCACTTTATCAGAATCTTAGTGTTAAACAGTTAATGAATGCCTATGGAGTGTTATTATAGCCTTTTCCCGCCTATCTTATAGAACTTTTGAACAGAAAGGAGGAGAGGGACAACTTAGTGCTAAGTTTTCAGAGGCAATGCAGCATGTTGACGGTGAAGATGTGAGGTAGGTTCACTCATGGGAGCTTAGTAATAAATGAAGTCTGTTACTGAAGTCTCGCTGATGAATATTTTGTAACATCCTTGTAGATACTTGCATTTTGATTTTCACCAGAAGTGTGGGCATGTTCATTTTGAGCGTCTCTCTGAACTTTATGATGATATCGAGGATTTCCTCATAAAAAACAGGTATGTGGCTTCTACCGAATAAAACAGATTTACAAATTTTGCAACATTTTATTTTATTGCATGTATTAGTTAATATTTCCAAGCCCATAGCAGTGTATCTAATCCACCAATTTATTAGATCTATAAGGACTGGCGGGCCTTCTAAAAATTAAACTCTACTATATTATATTTGACAGTGTTTATGTTTCCTCGCAGTGGTGTTGCAAATAAAATTCTTCAGTTATTGTTTGACATTGGTTATATGTTATGATCATGCTAACTTTATATGTTGTGGTTATGCTAACTACACTCTATGTTTCTTTAATTTATTTTTTATTTGGAAGGTACTTTTTGCGAAACGAGAAAGGTGAGAAGGTTGAGGCACAAGCAGGAGTTGTGAGGACAAATTGCATTGATTGCTTAGATCGGACTAATGTCACTCAGGCATTTTCTCTCTTTTCAAAACACTGAATTTTACTTATGTGGGTACTGGGTATACAAAAAGCGATGAAGTGGAATTACCATTGGTTCCATACTTCCATGGATCAAGCATTGAATTTCACCTGCATGTGCTCCACCCTATTAGGCTATTATATAATTCAGCGTTTTATTTTCCGTTTCTCCTAAATAGATGTAGCAATCCTTGAGTTGAAAATATATTCTAGGTGTTTCACTTGCCATGATTTTAATGTAAATGGCTAAATGAGCTGCGGACAACCCTGTGTTTTGGATAACTTATTTGGTAAATGGCTAAAAAGAGACATAATTACAAATATAACTATAACAATATATTTGAAATTAAAATTTACGACAAGAATGGTGTCATTCAGTGATTCAGCTTAATCATAATGCACATTGGTTAAGCTGACTAATAAATGATTAAATCAAATCGATTTTAAAATGCCTTCCTTTTATTTCTTTGAACTAGGTCAATACATTGTGAGACCTGAGGCATTTGAATTTTTATAACATGTTGGGATACAAATATTAATTTATAATAAGTATTAATAATATAAATAATAGTAATACTATTATTAATTGGAATGTTTTTCTCTAGTACAATGTGACTACCACCACCGTATATACTGTTATGTAATCTGGAGTAAGAGAGCTTTTTATGTAACTTGAGAGCTTCCTTGATTTTATTTAGGGGACATCACAGCCTTCAATAAAGTGGTCTACATACAATATTTATGTTTGCAGAGCATGATTGGTAAAAAAATGTTAGAAGTCCAACTGAAAAGGCTTTCTATTTTTAGTGCTGAGGAAACAATTAGTACACACCCCAACCTTGATGAGAACTTCAAAATATGTGAGTATTTCAGAAAATTTGATGGTTTATCTTTTTTCTAGGGTATCGCTGGTTTTCTCTGTTGGAGTAGAAACTTCATTATCTTTACAGATGACCAGTGTTTTGCCCTCTTTTTCATATTTATGCCCCCTTTGTAACTCCTCTGTCGTCACCCTTCAAATTTAATGTGCAGTGTGGGCTAATCATGGTGATGATGTAAGTATCCAATATTCAGGCACTCCAGCTTTAAAGGGAGATTTTGTTAGGTAATCATTTCTAATATCTTTGGAGAATCGGGGTCTTATATTTCAGTGTTTCTTTTTTACTCTCCACTAAAGAAATTGTTTGAAAATATCAAACGTTCCATTTACATGTGTTGATGGCTTATTTGTACCTTGTAAACACCATGAGTGTGTTTGAGCCTTTTCTAAATATCAAGGTTATATACATGGGAGAAATTGTTATTAGCTGCACTAGCATTACATGGAAATTTATGGTTATCCAGATATGGTCAGCGTACTGTCAAAGGGATTTTCAATGATGGGTGTAATGCTCTCATGCGCTACTACTTGAACAACTTCTGTGATGGTACCAAACAGGTAGCAGGATATATAAAAAATGAATATCTTCCTAAAATTAGTTTTCAATCCAGTTTTGTGAATTTGTGATTACCAGTGGTGATTCTATTGCTAATATTAATTTTGGTTACTAATACACTCCCTGCTTTTAAATCAAAGGATGCGATGGACGTATTGCACGGACATTACATTACCTCCGTCTCACGGGATGTGACACCGACATCTCAAAAAGAAGGCGTTGAGACGGTTGCTGTAAGTATTTCAAGACACTCCTGCTGCTCCAAGTTTCAATTGTTTGTATGCTGTCATGCAATCATTTGCAAATTCTAAGGTTGCGTATATGAAGGCTTTGGATCCAGTGCTAACTTAGTAACATACTAACATCTATTCCGTATGTGAAACATTAGTAAAGTATATTTATTAGTAAAATATACTTATTAAAAAATAACTCCTACCATTTATCAGATAAAACAGTACATTTTGTGTACAAAAGTAATAAATCAAACAAATTATTTAAAATGAATGGTAGATTCATGGAACTCACGTAGGTCATAGCCACCCTGCCACTACAATAAACAAAATGCAAAATTAATGGAACTCACGTAGCAATGTAGTATATTACAAAAGTAATGAGAAATGACAAATGATTCCTCTTACAATAAAAACAAACTCATATTTTTCAAGTATTTAATTGGAAATAATCTTATATACAAATGCAAAATTGTGGTTAGAAGATGAATCAATGAAAGTTTTATGCACCTAGCACATAGGCTGGTAAAACAGGCTGTGAATATATATCATATATGCATATATGTGCCTATGTGTATATATATAGAGAGAACTATTGGAGTTTGTGAGTGGGTGCCCCCCTGCCCCCTCTGGATGAGGCCATGCATCTTTTAACCAAACCCTCTTGCAAATTGCATGTCTAGAGAGAGAGAGAATGATTGAGGTTTTGGGGCGGGTTACCCCCTGCCTCTCCACGTCTCTGGTAACAAAGTCCTCTTGCAAATTGGACATCTAGAGAACCTTGCATCGTTCTCCTCAAGCATCCATTCATAATCTGTTCTACAATCATCAAACAATGTGTTGATATATTTGCAGTCATTCCCGATGGCTTTTGCGCTGATTATGGCTGGGTTATTCTTCGCCATCATCTCACTAAGGAGAGGTGAGTTATTATACGTGTATGCTTCAAATCGCCTCTTGTTCCCTTTGTACTAAGCCCATGTACATGTTGGTGTTCTTTGCTTTACAGTCTCCAGTAATCCTTGGAATGTATTGTTTTCGATGATATGGGCGAGCATAAGTCTTCTAATAGCTGGATTTGTGAGGGCCAATGGTCGTGTGTTTTGTAACCGGCCTCGCCTCCTCCAACCTAGACGATGATTTTCAGGTTCAGTTTGTTATATCGTTTATTTTGTAATTTCAGCAGTTAGCTCCTGACTGCTATAACACATCGAATAGTTGTTCACTTGTTCTTTGTAACTCACTTCCTGGATTCTTTATACCACAGATTTGGTTGTAGACAACAAGGTTTCCTGTTTGAATATGTTGTTTCTGCATTCTGTATGATTTTTTACTATTTCAGACTCGATATATTTGTAAGAGTTGTGATTTTTTACTATTTCAGTCTAGGCTGGATTCGGGCCGGGTCCGGGCCTAGGCCTGGGCGGGCCGCCAGTTCTGAATAGGTGGGCCCGGGACCAGACCGGGTAGCCACCGGGTCCGGGGAGGACCGGCCCCCGGGTCAATTTTTTCCCCCCTTTTCCTAATTAACCCCCCCCCCCCCCACACCCCCAACCCCCCAAACCACCCCAAATGGCCCAAAATACCCAGCCCAACCCGAAAAGTTAAAAAATTTGGAGAAAAAAAAATAAAAAGCCCGGAACCGGGCCCGAACGGGCCGGTTCGACATTTGGGTGACCCGATCCCGCACAGGGAACCCCCCGGGCTGGGCCGGTTCATCACAGTACTGCTCCCGGGCCGGTTCCGGGTCGGGCCACCCGGCCCGAGTCCAGGACTATTTCAGTCTAACTTGATATATTTGTACAAGTTAGTGCTCGATTTGGTCTCTTGTCTCTAATTATTAGTCTAGTTTATTTGGTAATCAACTTTCATTTGCACAATTGGACTCAATTCGGTCCTATTAGGCATGGACCGGTTTTGGTCGGCCCGGCCCGGGAACCGGCCCGCCACTGTGCGGGCCCGGCCCTCCACTGTGCGGGCCTGGCCCGGTGAACCGGCCTGGAAACCGGGCCTAGGACTGGCCCGGTGTGTTAGAGAGGTTCAGTTCCGGGCCTACCCTTTGGAACCGGCCAGGCCGGTTTGGGCCTGGTTCGGGCCTATTTATTTTGTTTTTTGTTTTTTTCAATTTTTTTTTTGTTTTTCCCGGATTGGGCTAGGTGTTTTGGGGGGTGGGGTGAGAAGGGGGGTCGGGGTTAATTAGAAAAGCAAAAAAACAATATGAACAGGCCTGAGACAGGCCCGGACCCAGTTGCAAACCAAGCTGGTTCCAGACCTGTCCCCAAAAAATAAAAGTCCGGTTTGGACTGGCTCGGCTCGGAACCGGTCCATGCTTAGGTCCTATAGCTTTCTTCTTAAACTCAAATTAGTACTCATGTTATAAGTTCACAATGTTTAAATGTTTGTACGATAATTGTTTTTTGGGAAAGGGTCAAATATGCCCTCGAACTTACATAAAAAGGTCAAATAAGCCCTTGTATGGGAAGTTTTGTCCGGCCGTCGCCATTTGGGTAGTTCCTGATAGAATTTTTTGACGAAATTTTTTTAGAATCTTATTCATTAAGTCTAGTTTACTCATACCAAATTTCAGCTAGCAATTCAATCGGGAAGACATTCAAATGAATTCTTGAAGATAACTGCGCAGTTAAAAGCGCAGTCATCTTCAAGAATTCATTTAAATGCCTTCCCGATTGAAGTTTTAGCTTAAATTTGGTGTGAGTAAACTAGACTTAATGAATAAGATGCCCAAAATATTTCATCAAAAAATTCCACCGGGAACCGCCCCAAATGGTAACGGCCGGACAGAGCCTCCTATATAAGGGTTTATTTGACCTTTTTATGTAAGTTCGAGAACCTATGTGATCCTTTCCCGTGTTTTTTTAAAGTTTGTTTTGTAATTGGATCCAGATCACATACTTGGTCAATATATTTGGGTTTTGCTCTTTATGGCTAATACTCCGTATAACAAGAAGAAATAATTCAACAATAAATGTTTTCCTATATTACTAAACGAATATATGCATTGATTTTGAATGGATTGAATACTTTCCGAAAGGAATTGGAGTTAGGTTGGGTTAGGGCTGGACTGAACCGGGCCGGTTCGGGCCTCGGGCGGTGAAAAACTGGCTGAGTTGTTACTCGTTGAAAGTCCTAAACCGGAACTAGGGACTAGGGGTGGCATCGGGTTGGATTTATACCGGGTGAAGGTTCATCCACGTCCACCCGTTAATTTTTCATATTTCACACACCCGTCCACCATCTATTAAAAGTTACATCCAACACATCCATCATGAGCAGGTTATCGGGTGAGTAACGGGTGAATATAAATGATCTAACTTGAAAGACAAAATAAATAAATTATAAATAGAAATTGGGACAATTAAAAACCAAAATTTAAATTCATTGAATAATAACTACAAAAACTTGAGCAATTAAGTATATTACAATCATTAATTCACTGCCAATAAAGAAAGAAGTGATTCTCAAACAAAAAAGAAATAAAACGTTTTCAAACTGTCAAATTTTACATTTTTGCATTGGCAGACAACTATTTTTGTAGTTCAACTATCACTTCTTGAAACTATTCAATTGTCTTTATTTCACCAACTGAGAGATGTTTCTTCTTCTTTAACAAATACATACCTATTACTTTGTAATATACTAATATTAATTATTATATATATTATTAATATATATTATATATAATACTTCGTATAATATAATGTATATTTTTTTATAAGCGGGTTAGCGGGTGGGTGAATGGAGCGGGTGATGGGTCGGGTGGTGGATTGAATGAGTGTTCATCCACACCCGATTCAACCCGTCTTTCAATCCACCCGTCATCCATTTTCCATCCACGCTTTTTTCGGATTTTCGATCATATTTTCGATTCGGGTTAACCGGATATTCACGGGTGTGGATGATATTGTCAGCCCTAACCGGAACTGGCCCTTGAAACCGGGCCAATTGGATAGTGGTCCATTTTAGATACTATCGTATATAGGAGCTGACCGAATCGCTTTAGTTCCAAGTTCCAACTGATATTTTATAATGGAAGTATTAGTTGCATGGTTAAGTTCTTGTGGAATACAGAACAAATCTGAGTCTAGAATTGGTTGGACAAAATTTTAGTTGCACTGGAAGTTCTTTTAGAATATAGAACTAATTTAAGTGTGACATCCTTAAATCCTTTGAGTCCCGTTTTTTGTATGATTGGTAGTAAGATATTAATGACAAGAATATAATATTGTACTCCATTAGAATGACATTTCATGAAAGCAAAAACAGTGACTAAGGGACTGGACGTTGGAGACTTGGAGTCTGGGAGTCTGGGGCGGAGTCAGAAAAACGTATGGGGTCGGAATTTAATTGTATACAGTACCAAAATGATGGATAGTTATTATACAATATTTGAGTTAAATGTTTCATACGTAGTTGAAATAAATGATAGTTTAATGAGTCTTTATCAGTTATTGTATTGATATACTATCGTATATGAAATGTATCATAATGTTCATACAACTAATGACTGAATGAAGTGTTTTATTTTAAATTGATGAGTATAATCAACAACACACATCAAATTTTGCTTATTTCAAATTAAGATGATGCTGATTTTTCCAGAAGTCATAACTTTTTACTCGTAATGAGTTACGGGGCCCATAATATATCAAATCGAAGGTATTTCAGAGTTCTACATTCTTGAACTTTCAGCGGGTCGGCTGACCACCCTGACCCCCCCTTGGCTCCGCCCCTGCTTGGAGTTGATATCTTATTCCTAGATTATGTCAAAGAAATACTATCCTCCGTCTCTTTTTAATCGCAACATGTTGAATTTTACACTATTCACATGTTCTACTTTGACTACATTTTATATTACTCCCTCCGTCCCCTTAAGTTTGTCCCGTTTTACCTTTTTCTTCCGTCCCACTAAGTTTGTCTCATACCATATTTGGTAACATTTGAGTGGTTAGAATTCATTCTTACTTTATTTACACTTTATCAATTCAATACCAACCACACAATTCCACTTTTTCTTAAAAATCACACCACACCCCTCCGTCCCAAACTTAAGGGGACGGAGGGAGTATTATTTTATGAAAATTATTTTTAAAAAAAATATTGTTCAATTCATCTCATTACAAATTTTCAAAATCTAATTTTTAAATATTTTTTACTAATAGAGATTAAGATATAATTACGGTCAAAGATGTGCGTTGGCAAGTGTGAAATGTTGACCGTTGCAACTAAAAAAGAACGGAGGAAGTACGCAGATAATAGAGTTTGATTTCTCCGAGACTAAGAGAATGTTTAGGCAATATAGTTTCAAATATGAAGCTCCTTTTCTCGATTAGGTGCAATATCGAAATGTAACCATTTATATTATATATATATATATATATATATATATATACATTTTGAAAAATGTAACCATTTATATTATTTTTATATAATATATGGATTCCTTATATTTCACGTATTTGCTAAAGGGTGAAAATGGTACTCCAAAAAGGACTGAGTGTAAAGAATTGGTATATTTGCATAATAGTATGCTATGTATTATTTATTAAAATATTCAGAATTTTATTTCCATACGTTATTTGTAACCATTATTTTGAAGAGATAATTCTCTAAATGAGAGTAAAAACGTTTTAAAATTCCAAAATAAAACTATCATGTTTTTTATTCCTTGAATAAGAGTAAATTTCTGCCAAATTTGACATTACTAGGCTTTAAACATGACATTTTTTTCAAACTTGGCAAATTGCTCAAATTCAATGAATAAAAAACATGATAGTCCTATTTTGGAATTTGAAAAGATTTTTATTCCTATTTAGAACAATTTCTGTATTTTGAATATGTCGCCTTTTTTATTGGGTAAAAATAGAATCCAAGTCCTACCATATGGTTAAATGAAATAGATTAATAGAATAACTAAAAAAAGGCATATACATACGGAGTAGTTAAGAAGTGGACTGGAATTTATATTGGAACTAGCCCAGCAGATCGATATCCCGAACCCATTTACATGTAATAGTTCTTAGATTCCAGTTTAGGATTCAAATCAAATGCGAATACCCATAAGTTTGACTAATCTAATACACTCATTCTTATTTTGTAGTCACCCTTATACCCCATCTGTGAAGGCTTTTTTTGTCTTATTCTGTCTATGCAAATTAAGACATAATTTGCACAAACAAAATAAGACATATTTTGTCTGTAATCGGGATTTATAGTCAAAAAAATCTTGCACAGACATGATGACTATAAAAGTAGATATAAGAGTGGGTACAAACATTAATTTTCAATCCAATAACCTAGCTATTCGGTTTTTATAGCCTTACTCACTACATTTAAAGTTGAGCGCCAAGCTAACTCTAGACGGCATTTAGAGTTGCCACTCTGGCATGAAAAGGCAGGAAAAGCGAATGAAGTAGACCCAAGCAAGAAAGGGCTTAGACCGCTTTCAAATTCAGGGTGAAGACAGTAAAAAATATAGTGAAATGTTGAGATTTGGTTGTCAAAACAAAATTTTTTTGAACCCGACCTATCTGTCATTTGTGGTTCCGTCGATGCTTCCAATTCATGACCATTGGCTTACATTGTCACACCTTACACCTTTTAAACAGGACTTAGAAGTCGCCGCTTTCTTTCTCTTTTTTTTTTTACTCCAATGGGGTCTGGGAGAGGGGGAATGGGGGGCTTGGATTAATCATGACTGAAATTCAGCTCCATTAGGCGGGTTTCGAACTCCATTCAGCTCCATGTGCCTAGCGGGTTTTGAACTCGAGACCTTTCATTAGACACGATAACCCCACAACCAGCTGGGCTGGAATGCTTGGTTTGCCGCTTTCTTTTTCTAGTATGTTTAGTTTATGTAGATGTTACTCCGTATTATTAGATTCCTACGCTTAAGTCTGCTTCACCAACATATTCTTACGCCAAATGTATTTTTTTCATTTTTGTAGAACATCATAAATCCACTAATTTGCTTTTATACTACCTCCGTCCCACTAATAGGTTTAGGGGGTGACACGGTTATTAAATGATTTAGAGTTCATGCGGTTGATATTATATTGATAAAGTAAAAATGATTTAGAGTCATTCAAACTTTATGAAACTTGGTATGGGACAATTTTAGTAGGATTTTCCGAAAAGGCCGGAAAAACTGGACAATCTTATCGGGAGGGAGAGAGTAGTATTTATGCAATCCATCTCTTTATTCATGATAAAATCAATGTGGTACAAGGTCATTCATTTCTCCCCTTATAAGTTTTAACTACATCCATTCAACTTTCTAATTAAGTAGGATAAGGTAGTCACTATTGCCATTATCAACATAATCCCGAAATTCATTTAGGATCTTGATACATTTGTCGGATTCACAATCAGCACATAATAATAAGTTAAAGATGATTAAATCTTTATCTGTAAATAAGATTTTCCTTCGTTTGTAATTAATAACAACACAATTAACAAGTGAATGAGGGATCTTTCTCAACATTATTCCATCCGACATGTACAAATGCATGTTTTTTTGTAGAGTACACCCACAGCGCTGACAGCAGTACAGCACTAATTCCATATGTTTATTTATTTAACCACCATTAAGATCTCCAACAACATTAATATCTATCAGCTAATCTTTTAATTCAAATTGAGACTTATTATCAGAAAGTTGGTAGCAAATTTAAGAGATTTCAATGTTGTAATTCACAAGTACACTAGGCACTCGCTCGATCTGCCCGTCACACGTATTAGTACATCATGGAGTTTATCTAATAATGTGCATTAGGTAGATAAATTTAAAGGCAAAGTATTACCCTTCTAGCTAGGGCATTGTGAGTATTCTTATGGCGTTCGTCTTGGGGTGGAGAGTAACGGCGGCATTTTTCGAGAAGAAAGCAAACCGTAGTGATGTGGGTGTGACCGTTTAACCAGAGACTGAGAGACGCGCTTATAAAAACAGTTTATAGTGACATTATTTCAAATAGTGTCATTGATCAATGATGGATAACATTAGATAACATGCAAGCTACTTATGTGTTAGTCTATAGTGATACTTTTGCATCATTTTAAGTCGTGACACCCTTCTTAATTTATTAATTATTTTAATATTTTCTAAAAATTCAAAAGCATAAAAGAAATAGGAAGTACACTATACTTCGTATTAGACTATGGAGTATTAGAGAGCTCATAGTATATACTCCCTCCGTCCCAAAATGATGGTCCCGTATTTCCTTTTCAGGATGTCCCAAAATGATGGTCTTGTTTCCCCTTTTGGAAAGAAAGATGTGGTCCACACCATTTCACCTTTTTATACTCAAATTTCAACCACAACTTTTACCTTTTCAACCACTTTATTATAATTTGTGTCCAAAAGAAATGAGACCATCAAATTGGGATGGAAGGAGTATGTTAAGAGGAAGAGATAAGGTAGCATAAGACAACAAACAAGAGTTGTTTGCTATTGGGCGTGCCTGCCTAGACTAGTAGCTGGATTGAATAATAGCAGTTGAGGGGGGAAGGAAAGACGGATCAAAAAGTAATTTTTGTGGTCAGTGGAAAATGCAACTTCAGTTTGATTTTACCAATGATCCTTTTGTGCACGGCAGTTTGTACACGCGTTTTATGATCTGTACATAGATAGTTTGACCCACGTTTTATGAAAAAACGGATTTCCATTTGTCTGTGTATAGATAATTGTATGTGTATAGACAATTTAAATTGTTTGTGACACATAAAAAAAAAATTGTATGTGTCAAAATCGGTTTTCTTCATAAAACGCCGATCAAATTTTCTACACATAGACAATTTGACTGGCGTGTAAACCGGCGTGTACACGAAGCGATACTCTTGATTTTATGCTTGTGGATTCAATCGGTCTAGTGGTCGGAAGTCGGGACGTGGGTCTAGCTTATAAGACACGAATTTTCATTATATATTTTAAAAGGTCAATCTAATAGGAGTCTACACTCATAACCTTATTTAATTGTGTATAATTTGATATCAATTCGGTATAAGAGAATACCCCCTTAAACCCAGACTGGACTACTCAACTTGGGTAGATAAATGGGCCTAACATGCCCTAATCGGCTACCATAAATCATAGTTACGTTCAGATCATAGTTACGTTTGGATCTGACATTGATATCATGTTTTAATTTGATACGTGATTTTATTCCAAAAAAGGTAAATTTGGTAATGGAATAGTTCAAAATCTAATGAAGATGATGATGAGCTTTTGAGATACTAATGCTTCAACTTTTCATGTAGTTTCACTTTATTTTTATCTACTCTAAGCTTTATGCTTGGTTGTTATTCTACTGCCGTTAAGAGAGTTGACTACTTCAGTCTGGGGGCATCATGACCTAATAAGGTTCCTATTGAGGTGGACTAGGTATCCCGTATCCCCAACCTCGATCACAAAATCAGAGTAATAGCTACTCCGTAGTATGGATCGTGAGCATATAAACCAGTTCCTATTGAGGGTGTTTGGATCTGATTCTTAAAAATGTTTCTGCTCCTTAAAGGAAAAGAAGTAGAAGCTGGAGTGTTTGGGTGAAAGTGCATAAGTGATTTTAGTGCTGTAATTTACTCCTATAATCAGTTTTTTTAGAAACCATGAAAAACCGACTTCTAAAAACTGATGCTTTAAAAAAGAAGCAGGAGCAGAATCAGTTACAAACACCTCCTTAAATTTGAATTATAACTGATCAGCTCAACCACGAAAATCAATAGGTATCCCGTATCCCCAACCTCGATCTAGGGGTGGAGCCGGGCCGGCGGTTCAGGAATGGGGGGCTCGAACCAGCCCGGGTAATCCTCGGATTCGGGTCGGGCCGGGCTCGGGTAATTACTATTTTTTTTTCCTTTTCCTAGTTAACCCCCAACCCACCCTCACCCCCAAACCACCCCAAATGGCCCAAAATACCCAGCCCAACCCGAAAATTTTAAAAAAAAAATTGAAAAAAATAATTAAAATAGGCCCGGTACCCGGCCCGAACCGGCCGGGCCGGTTCGCCAAAACCACGACCCGAGCCCGGATCCGCCCTCCCCCCGGGCCAAGGCCAGACCCGGACCCAAGAACCGGGCCGGTCCCGGTCCCGCACAGTAGCGGGCCGGGCCGGTCCACTGGCCGGGTGGCCCGACCCGAATCCACCCCTCACGGCCTCGATCACAAAATTATAGTAATAGCTAGTATGGATCGTGAGTATATAAATCAGTGGGCATTCCTTTAAATTCTTACACAGTTACACCAAAACACTTACTCTTAAAGATTTTGTGTTTCTTTTCAGTTGAATGGGATGACTGGATGAGAATAGTTATTTATAAGTTGGAGAGTATATTGAGAGGCTTCTTTCTTTTCCTTTTTGAATAGGATGAGTAACATGAAATTCAATATGAAATCAATTGTATAGCCTTATTGATCATGGATTCTTGCCTTCTTGGTTATGTAATGAAGCTCCTCAGCATCAACACATGCAATTCAATCATTCAGTTTACTTGATAAGTAAACAATTGAAACCCCTATGCCCTAATACTACTAAGTACTAACACTATTGTTGGGGAGACACCAGATTCCCATATTTTCGATTCAATTAACAATCATAATTGCATATTGTTGGGGAGACACCAGATTCCCATAGGAGTTAGGGGCTTAATTGGCCACTTTTTAGATTATCAAAGGTCTAGCTTGCATATTTGCATCAAATTCATAACCATGGATGTATGACACTAAAGAATCATGAACAATTGCACAACAGTAATTTCCAGAGTTAATATGTTACTAAGAAACTTGCTTTTGGACATAGATGGAAAGAATTATACATTCCACACATACAAATGATTCACATGAGTCATTCCATACAAATACAATACCTAGGTGAGAAGAGCCATAGCCAATACAACATTTTACAAATTAATAGAACTTATAACTTAAGCTCTCTAAAGATAATGATTATGTATAAGTCTCAGCATCCAAATACCTATTAGCTAGTAATATTCTCTGCTTACGACTAATTTTCTTACCCACCGCTAATGTTTTTTACTAAGTTGGCTGAATGGAGCGACAATAACAAGCAAAAAAAGTTCAGAAATTAGTTTCTGTTGTTATTTTTTTAGATATTGTGTTCTTTTTAAAAACATTTTAAATACAGTTTCGAACAATTCGCTCCATCCAGCCATAATTTTAACAACCCCCGTCATTTCATCCAAATTTTACCATCACAAAACAGGCTCCCAAGAGTGACAACAAAATCATGAAACAGAACACATTGAAGGCACCACCTCTTTGGCTTAAACACCACTGTGGCCTGACTTTCGGGGTGAGTGCTTGTGGCGAAGAGATGAATCAGAACTCACAGATTTTGCCTGTTTCACATTCCCCTTCATCTTCATACCCTCAATCTCTTCCAGAATTCCAACAACTTCGTCCATTGAAGGTCGCTTCCGAGGCTCATGTTCAACGCATCTCAGGGTGAGCTGAGCAGCCTGAAATGCGGCTTTTGTGGAATACTGGCCATCCATTCTTGGGTCCATTATAGACTTCAGCTTCTTTCTCTGAGACAGAAAGGGTCTCTTCCACTCTACCAAATTATGTTGCCCGCCAGTTCGCCTACTGTCCAGTGCTCGTAGGCCTGTCAACATCTCAAGCAACACCACACCAAACCCATACACGTCGCTCTTAACATATAGGTGACCTAACAAATTAAGATAATTAAGGTCGCTGTTCAACCAATAAATATCACTCCCTCCGTTTTTAATAAAATGTTCCAGTAGGTCTATTGATGGGGTTTAAGAAGGAATTTGTATGGGTAGTCAACAGCAGAAGAGAGATGAAAAGGTGAGGATATTTATTTTTTATAATATGATGACATTTGTGAACTTGGGAATTAGAGCAAATATTTAAAAAGTTCACGAAAAGGAATACGGAGCAACTAATAAGAAACAGAGGAAGTATAATGAAGACATGGGGTAATTGAGTACTTTCATATCTAAACAAGTAAACAGAGACAGTCACCTGTTGCAACGTATTCAGGTGCAGCATAACCGTATGTCCCCATTATTCGAGTTGTGACGTGTGAGTTCTCACCAGAGGGCCCCAGTTTGGCTAAGCCAAAATCTGATATTTTCGCATTGTAGTTCTACAGATGGAATAATAAACATGAAATTAAACCACTTCACCATTTTAAATTCATACACACGTGTGTGTGTGTCATTTAACTGATCTCTGTTGTATAAAACATATGTATTAGAATTTTAGAAGCAGAAAGCTTCTTCACTCAATGCAACTGTTTGCTCATATATTGCATTTCAGAAGGGTTACCAGCTTTATGCCTTCATTAAAAGGGAAAATTGATCTTTTCATCCATGTTTTACCGTAATGTTTGATTCCCACCCCACGTTGTATTTAGTAATGCAAAGGGAGCATTAGAAAACATTCATGTGCGGCACACATTCATTGAGTTATCAAAGTTAGACATGTGATCATCACCCAAGTAAATGTCTCTTTATCATTACTCTACTCTGTTTGACCATGCACCACATTGTGGGTCATTGCTAGTAGATTTTCAACCAAATTCATTAGACCTTACACCCCATCTTTACCTTCATATTTGACTTCGTAACCAAATTTTATTTTCTTAGAACACGTACCCCAGAGCCGGTCATTTCTATTAAACTTTGAACCTTGTTAGTTAGATTTTGCGAACTGTAGTTTACCTTAATATTTGAATTTACACACCGCTTTGGGATGCTCTGGGGTTCATATTCAAAGAAAACAAAACATGTTGTGTAACGACCAACTTTCCCTTATCAATACAATCCGTCAAACGCTTAATGTCATACATAATATAGCGTTTTGGGAGCCAAAACATTGATAGCACTTAGCCGATGGCTCCCCTAAGTAGTTTCTAATGGCTATACAAGTGAGATAATAGAGCCTTACTTACCATGTCAAGAAGAATGTTGGAAGCCTTAAAGTCCCTATAAATTATTTGCTTTTCTGAAGCATGCAGAAATGCTAGGCCTCGTGCTGCTCCTATCGCAATCTTGAGCCGCAAGTCCCAAGAAAGTGGCTCAATTGCAGTTTTTCCTAAGAAACAGGATAACCCCCAATTAGTGGAGTGCGTCATTATCAGGCTCTGCTTGGTGCCCACTACAGCCTTATTATGTTCATAGCTTTTGACGTTACTTATCTGGCTAAAATAGGTTTTGCCAAACATGTTTCCTTTTAAAAAATTATGCAGACCCGGTGATTTCAGCAAAATAACACTAACCAAACAGTCCCCCCATTAGTTCTATCTTACTTCAACTTAGATGCCCTAAATAAACACACTACTTACTTCTGAAAAGGTGGTTTTCCAAACTCCCCTTCTGCATAAATTCATAGACAAGTAGTAGTTCTTTCTCTTCCAAACAGTAGCCAAGTAGCTTCACTAGATTAGGATGTGAAAGCCTGCCCAAGAAGTTTACTTCTGACTGCACATTTCACATGTTTAAGCATACACATAATACTATTAGATCATCCAGTAAGAAGTAACAAAAAATGGAAGCAATTTGAGTACACAGAGTTCAAAACACCAGAAGGTGTAAAGCTAGGAGATAATCAATCTTGAAACTTCTACCATCTTAGTTTTGTTGAAGACTTTTTCTCAAGGCAAAACTCCTTAAATAGAACTATGGACTCGTCCATCCCCAAAAACAAGAATTATGCACTACTTTTAGTTTTTTTCTCAAACTAACTACTCCCTCTGTCCCATTTTATGTGTCTTACTTTGATTTTTTTGTCATCCCAAAAGAAATGCTTGTTTCCGTTTTTGTCATGAAATATCATTTCACATTATTCTACTCGAACTTCAACAACTTTTACTTTTCAACTTTCTCAATAGTCGTGTCAAACCAAAACAAGACACATAAAAAGGGATGGATGTGGTATTATTTCACTAAAAACTATACATTGCTCATAAATCACCTCCAAGGTTACTTTTTTCCTTCCACTATTTTCTTTTTTGCTTAGCTTGTTTTATGGAAGAAACCATTGCTCACCAGAAGTATGTCACTTAGCATAAGTGAAACTCCATTTTATCTTGGTCAAAATTGTTACATATAGAAGTCCATTTAGCAAACCAATAAAGTAAAAGTAATAAAATGACTAGAAATCAAAAGGGAATCTTTGCAAATTTATGGCAATATTAATTTTTTTTAGAGATGACAATATTAATTGTTATGACCTTAAAAACCAAATTATCCAAATACATACATTCACAAAAACTGGAAGGAAGCAATGTGTGTGAAGGGCAGTAGCAGTACCTGCCATTCCTCAAACCCTTGCATACTTTCATGATTCAACTTCTTGATGGCAACAATGATTCCACTCCCTATTTTAGATGGCATGAGCGTCTTCTCATCAACCCATCCTTTAAAAACCGTCCCAAACCCACCCACCCCCAACACCATATCAGACTTAAAGCTTCTAGTGGCTGCCTTCAAATCCGTGTAACTGTAAATCTTCAGATTCGATGTTGGCAAAATCTCTCCATTCACAAGTGTTTCTTGATCACTCCCCATTGTTGAAAAGAGGCTCGGGCCAGCACTATTGCTTGTTGCAGAAAAATCAGTTGTTCCATTGCTGTTGTTTCTCGAGGTTTCTATAATTACCCAAAACATTACAAAATTATAATAACAAGAAGAATTAACTAATTTACCTAAAACAGCATTAATCAACATAAAGCTTACCAAAAACAAAACCAACCACAAATGCCCATTACTATAAAAGTTTTTTCTTATAAATGCTTAAAGCAGGGGTACACTAAAGGTGTGAACTTTAAGAGCAGACAGATCAGGAAGTGGACCAAACTGGGTGGGGATATTACAAATTGAGTGAAAGAACTAAAAATTGAAAGAAAGGAGTACCCCGAGTTGAAGGTTTAAGAGAAGAACTGCTGGGGTGAGTAATAGTGCTGATACGGCTAGGATCAGGCACTTGGGATCCAAAGCAATTCCCCATTTAATCCAACCCGCTTACTGTGTTGCCATCTTCTTCATAACCTTGAAAGAAATCCTCCGACCCAGGAAGGAATGAGAGGAAGAGGGGATTCTCGATTTCCAGAGCACAATGATAGTATACTACTGTCTTCCACGTGGGGTGGACTTTTATGAGAAAAAAGAGTCCGTGAAAACTGAGACGGAGAAGAAAAAGTATGCTTTCTTAGAACTTGCTGCTGATGCTATCTGTATCTGGGTGAATATTTGAATGCTGCTGGGTTTTTGTTCTTTTCCCAATGGAAATCAGAGAAATTGGTGGGGTGCTTTTTGATGGACCGGTTTCTTTCCCCCACAATTCTATGACTATTGTTTATACAAGTACTCACTTAGAACCCTATTTGCAAGCAAAGCGCCGATTTGCGCTTCCTCAAGTAGTTGAAATCTCTCTTCCCCAGAAGCCAAAACCAGAAAAGTCAGCGATGATCATTAATCCTGTCCGCCAAATCTCTTTTTCCCACCAGTATCTATTTCGCTTTTACTGGGTTGTTGCCATTAGTATCTACAAGTATTTTTTTTCTATTTCGCTTTTGTCCTCCTATTTTATGCGTTTCCTTTTTGTTTTGACACCACTCCCGTCAGCCCAAAAAGAAAGAAGAAAGGTAAGAAAGATAAAATGGGACGGAGGAAGTAATTCAAATACATGAAAAAGGAGGAAGTAATTCAAATACATGAAAAAGGTAAACACTCAAAACTTACATTTTCTCGCTATCCAATTAGATTTTAGCAACTTTCTACACGACTACACCCAACATTTCCAACTCAATTGGTAAATACGAGTAGGATACTAGGATGGAATCACTACGGTAAATATGTAGTAATGTTATCTTTATGATTTTTCTTTCCTATTTTGTGAATAATGTAAATTTAAATGTCAATTAAATATAAATATGTTAGTAATGAAAGTCATGTAATGACAAATAGCAAATGTGTTGCAACTATATAGACCGTGAAAATATTATTTATTTCACAATGGAGATTAGAATTTAATTGTATCTCACAAATGCAAAATATTTTTAATTATGTACTTGACAATGTAACATAGATTTACATGTATAATTTTGCGCAGTCAACTTCAAAAAATTATTTGACTGGCTTCCCGATCGAATTTTGATCTGAAATTTTTTTGTGGATAAACTAGACTTGATGGGGAAAATACTCAAAAAAAAAATCATCAAAAAAATTCACTGGCAATCATACCAAACGGTAGAGTTTGGACGGCAGCTCCCGTCCCTCCGGCTGGACCTGAGCATTTCTCTATATATATATATTACACATACAAATTTGGATACTTACCTAGTTACCTTACATTCCTTCACAGCTGGGGTATTTAAATCAATTTTCACTTATTATTATTACTTTTATTATTATTTTTACTATTATTATTATTAATGATTATTAGTCAATATTATTATCATTATTTATATTGTTATTACCACAAGCCTCTGATGTGAAATTGTCAATATAACAGTCAAATTTCAAATGGTTCTTATATAATGTACGATATATATATATATATATATATATATATATATATATATATATATATATATATATATATATATATCATGAGAGATTTAATTAAAATTCAAAAATAAATGAGAAATCTTATATGGTAAATCATAATTTAATGTTTGTATGTGGTAGATAGAAAAAATTATAATTGGTGTGGTAGGATTCAAATCTAGATAGATTATGTGGAACCCCTCAAGGCAACAATTTTAAAATTTTCTATTTGAAAAATGCACAAATTTTAAATTCGTATGCGGTCATACGAGGTTTCTATTCGACAATTCTTACTTATTCTCTATTTAGGAAAGAAAGAACATTATAATCTTTTTCCCTAAATATGGCATATATTGAGTAAAAAAAGTTCTAAATTTCAAAATAGGACTGCCTTGTTTATATTCTTTAAATATGAATAATTTTTGTCATGTTTGACATTATCAAACTTTAAACATGGTGGTTTCTGTCAAGTTTTTTCCAAACTTGACAGAAATTACTCTTATTTAAAGAAATAAAAACATGAATAGCCCATTTTAGAATTTTTAAACGTTTTACTCCTATTTAGGACAATTTCTAATTGAATAATCAAAACTTAAGCAAGTTACAATACGACGACAAAAAGTTCTCTATCGACCGTCTGGGCTCGAATCAGACTTAGAGTTTATCACCTATGATGGGCTTAATGCCAATGACGGACGTACCAGAAATATCATCATGTGACTTAAATTCTAGCTAAAGTTTTGCTACAGGAAAAAAACAAGACCAAAACAACATTCAATTTGAAATAAAAACAGAATAATCTAAATAAAGATGCCCTCCTATAACCACGGTCCACGAACATGGGCCAATTAAAGCCTGGATGTGAAATCATCTAGGGCTAGTGACGAGCATTTCGTCGTAGTGCGCCAAAATAAATTCGATACTGGCACTTTATACGTAGTATAGGTGAAGTAGAGTTCGTATCCACAGGGAAAGGAATAATTCTTTTTTTAGTAAAACTGGTAAATAAAGGGGGGGTTTTGGGATTGAGTGATTTAATTTAATTAAACACGAAGATGAACGACTTATATGAGATTTAATTCAAGAATAAAAAGGACTTGGTCTTGCTACTTTCCACTTGTTGATATATTTTGGTCGATCATTGTTATATATATAACTTATCCCCTCTCGAATACTCAATCGAGGAGTATCTCCAATTCATCGAGGGTAGTTATTAACAACGGCCGTTCATTAACAACCCTTACTATTAATCAAATATAGAACAATGTTGTATACCGATTTAATAATAGCATTTAATCTTTTTAACTCCTTGATGAAATCAATTGAGATTGATAACCTCAACACAATGGTTTTGGTTTAACCAACAAAATTAATCTCTCTTAAGTTTATTAACCACGGCCGTGCATTAATAAACCGAAGTTACTTACTTGTGATACCATCAACGATTAATCATCGGTTCGTTGATCGTTTCTAGTAATAATTAATGTCGAAGCATTAACTAATTAATCGTCACTTAGCAACCCTCCAACATTAATATAGAATGAGATTAAGGGAAGAATTAATAATCAAGAGAAGAAGTTAAGAAAATAACTCACAACTTTAATAATCAACAAGCTTCAAGAGCAAAACCAAGAAATGAGAGTTTAGCTCCTCATTTGGAGACTAAACATGCTATAAAAATATAAGAAATAACTATTCTAAACTGAGCTTAAGAGTATAGAAGAAGGAATGAATTTATTGTGAAGGAAAAGGGGTGTATTTATAGGTGTTTGGAGGTGGCAGGGTTGTGTACCCGATCGGGTATATAGGGTACCCGATCGGGTATTTTAGGCAGTTTCCCGGAAAATCACTTTTCGAGACATACCCGGTCGGGTATGAGCCAAATCTTCAAAATCCTGCACATTTTTTTGTCTCTCCAGATTCTGATTTTGACACCCGAATCAAATCAATACCCGATTGGGTATTGCCTATACTTGACCGGGTATATGAAATATTTTCTCAATCTTCTTTTTATCTTGTCCCTTGCACTTTCCTTGATCTTTTGGGGTCCAATCTTGATCATTTGGATGATCTTGACCTGTTTTAAACTCATAATAATCTTAATCTAAACAAATTACATCTATCTAGGAAAATAAACTAATTACACCAAAAGTGTGTAATTTCTCTAACCATAAACAATAAAACTAATTAAAAGTGAAACAATACATAATAAAATGACTACATTATCAGCTGGGACTTTGGAACCAAGAATCGAAGAACCAAACCAAAGCAAACTGTTATGACCCGATTCGGTTTGGTTCTAACATTTATTTGTTACTTGTTAATGGTTCGGATCATATTTCTTATTAACAGTTCGGTTCTCGGTTCTTGAAAAAACATGTACCTCGAACTGTTATATATAATAATTAAAATTGTACATATTTTGTAACAGTATATATATATATATATATATATATATATATATATATATATATTTGAAAGTATATGTACTTATTTATTTTTATATTACACTAATTATTTTTGTTTAGTTATTTAAGTATTTAACATTATTATTTATTTTAACGGGTTCCTCTAAGGCTTTTAGGTCTCTTAATAGAGGCTCAGTGGTTGAAATTGAGTGCTCTACTCGTGACCCCTTGAGATGAGTGCACTTTTTTGCTGACTAATTAAGTTGCTGATTCAATATCATAATCATTGATTGCAAGGAATATGTTGTTTTGTTTCATTTACTAAAATTTTCAGTTTGGTATTTATTTATGTTTTAAACTCAACTTTTGAGGTTTGAAAAGATGGTAAACATATTTGGGAGGTTTTGGTTTGGTCCCCCTCTCTTTGTACTCAATTTTATTTTAATAAAATAACGGTAAATGTCTCCCGGCATTTGCCCCACTGGATGCGGTGATTTGCCTTCCGGGATATAAAAAAACATATTTGTATTTCTTGTAATTTCAAACGTTGAATGTTTTTTTACAGAAGTTTAACGGTGATTTGTAAGATTTTTTTAAACTAGGAACCGTTAAATGACAAGAACTGAACCGTTAAAAATGGTTCGGTTCCATAGCGGCTTCATAAAAAATTTATAAGAACTGATCCCCGTTATTAAGATTTGATATTTTTCAAACAGTTCTATCTATTTTGCCTAGGAATCGAATCGGTCTCAAGCTAGCCAAAAATCAGCTCATTGTCCTTTTATATTTTAAAATTCATTTTCGAATAAAATTAATCAAAAATACAAACCACAAATAATAACACAATTATATGTCTCCAAATCACCAAATATTCAAATCCAACGAAGATCATTATATTAATATTTTGTTTAAGAAGCATATATTTAAGTAATATAGGTTTTTTAAAAAATATTACAAAATAAAACATATGGATAAAAATGTGACTAAAGTTACTATAAATATGTTTTCATGGTCATTAGGTGAACAAATTGAACATATTTGTAGTCACTCAAATTTACTAAGTCATTTTTTCATCCACCACGATTATAATCACATATTAGAAATTATTTATGATTTATATTCGTATATTATATTGACTTTATGAAAAGCTAATTGTTCCGGGTTTTTATCGGTCCGGGTCGGGTTATAAGTTTTAGGGTCCGTTAATGAGCCTGGATTTCGGGTTCGATTTGGGTTTTATTCGGGCCGGTTAAAAAGAAAAAAACTAATCCGGGAACATAATTCGAATCGGGTCAGGATCGATTTTCGGGTTTCGATTCTGATTTTCCCACCCCGAGTCTCTAACATACGTAGTATGATAGTATAATTTAAGTAGTACGTAGTATCTCCATAAAATCTGATTCAAAGTTCAAACATCAAGAGTAACCATATATACGTGTGCGCGTGCGTATGTGTAGTTTTCAAATAGAAAAATTCTTAGAGTACACGAGTTGTACACAAATCATATACAAAAACCTTCTAGTTATTTGTGTACTACACAAACAAATCGTTTAAAAAAGAGCAAGATTTGATATCAAATCCTCCTTAATTGTCTGTGTACAGTGTACACAGGCAATGTACACATTTTGTGTACATCTTGTAAACACTAAGAATGACCCTTTCAAATATGATACCTAAATTCTAAAAGGCATGTATGTTCAACCCGAAAAGGATTTATTGATAAACACTAGCTAGTTTGATCACTAGAGCCAAATGTTTTTAAGGCTTAAGTCCGTCATATCGAGTTCAAACGTGATTAATCTCAAATTAATACTCCTTCTATTGTCTTTTATTCAACTATCGAGTACAGAGTTTTCACAAAAAATAAGAGTATAGTAGTGTAGAAAAGTATTAAAAGTAATGGAAAATATATGAAAAAATATGATAAAGAAGAAAAAAGAAAAAGGTAAGAAAGAAAAATTAATGAATAAGTAATAGTTTCCAAAATTAAAATAAAACAAATAATGAAAAACCTCATAAGAAAGAAAAGTGTGGTGTCTACATTATATTTCAATGTTCTTAAATAAGTGTAACATGTTGAATTTTACACTATCACATGTTACTTATTGATGTATTAGCAATTTGTTTTTTGAAAAAATATTGTTTAATTTGTTTCTTGTAAATTTCCAAACTGTTTTTTAATTAACAGAGAATAATATATTAATGGTTAAAGTTATATACTGGGAGACATGAAAAATAGATTGCTGATTTGGTGCACTTATTTAAAAATGGGTGAAGTATATATAATTATATATTACACTAATAGAACAAGATTTAGGAACAACATAAGAATTAAGACAATATTCAAGAGATTAATTATTGAGAACTATTAATTCGATAATTAAAAGTGTCTTTCATACAATAATTGAACGATTGGAATTAAAAATCCAAATCGAAGTCTAAAAATGCCGGTCACAATAATCACAAGATTAAGAGTGACAAAAGGTGAATCTTAAATAAATGATCATGCATTTATTAATACATATGATTGACAAGACCTTTAATTTAATTGAATATAATGACACAAATTAATCGTGGTTTTCACATAACGTGCATGCATCTAGCTCGATCGCGAGCTGTTAAACACTCAAAGTGCTGTTAGTACGTAATTTAAACACAGACAATTTTTATTCAATCATTCTGTTATGAGGATTTGTTTGTTTTTAGGAAATTCTTTGATTTTTATTTGTTGGAGGACGCTAGCTCTTTAATGTGGTGAGTGAATTTCTATTAACTTGATTCATCTTATCTTCTTATTTTGTCTTTACAGTTGAAAGTAATCTGAATTGTGTGATTTCTGCTAGAGAAAGTCAAAAGTGCAAAATTCACGTCTTTATTTTGTGCACATAAAGTCCATTAAAACGTACAGCTAGAGTACGTTCTTCATTTCTGTCAAATACGATACAGAATACACACACAAAAATATGATGATGTACTTCACAAGCTGACGCAATCATGCAGTGCCACGACTGAAGTCACGGACCAATCTGGTACTCCTTCCATAATTTAAAGATTCTTCTGTCGAGATTGGGGATTCAAACTTTTTGGGAAAAAAATCTTGCATTAGCTTTACTGAGAATTTTAAAGAGCCCTTAGCGTGCTCTCTATTGAGCACGTACCTAATCCGCTAGGGAAATGCTCCGTATTATTATGTTTATTTATTAAGTTAAAATATGGGAATCCGCTTAAACGTCGGGTTAAACTAAAACGAAGAGGAGAACCTTTCTGGGTTGATCTGAAATACGAGAGGTTGCCTCACTTCTGTTTTATATGTGGTCTTATGAATCATGTAGATCGTATGTGCCCCAGGAGATTCGAGTTTGCTAACGAAGGGAAGGAGAAAGCATTTGGGACTTGGCTCCGAGCCGGAAATCGGAGAGGCAATATGAGCAAGGGAAGTAAATGGCTTGTTGATGGAGAGGGGAATTTTTTGTTTTGAAAGCCTGAAAAGTTGGAGGCAGTAGCCTCTGTGAACGAAGATGAACAGGCAGCAGAGGTCTCTTCTCTTACTGGAACTAAAAAACGTAAAGCTATTGGAACAACACCCACAGGAGAATCACTGGAAGGGATGGATGTGGAGATATCTTTTCCAAAAAACGGGGACCCATCAGGTGGAAGCATGGCTCTGGACAAAACAAAAAACGGAGAGGCGGCGGGTCAAGTCTTCTAGACCCGCCGGACGTGCAAGTGGTATTCCTGTTTAAGAAAGCAAATAAACTTTGGTTTTTATTTTTTTGTTGTTGTGCGCTTTTATTTTCACGGTAAGATTGTCGTTCTGTTTTTATTTCATTTGTTGTTGTAAGACTCTTGCATTAGGATTGGGTGACGAGAGGTCTGCATTAACCGTCTTTGGCTCAATTATGCCCAAGTTAGGATCAACGAGTTATATTGCTTTGCTAAAGGTGATTAACTCTGAGTCTGGTTCAAGGGCTGATGGTTACATGTGGTTCTTTTGTTGTTTTATTCCCTGTCTGAATGCTGTGATATCAATCTAAGCCACCTTCTTCCCAAAAAAAAAGTTAAAATATGTGATATATAGTAATTGGCATGCTCTAGATGTCCGGCTAATCCCCGCATAGGTGCTAGGCGGTGACCGGGCGGCGGCGCTCTGATTTTGATCTAGGCATCTCGAATAATTGATTTGAATTGACGCCTAGTTGCCCGCCTGGAGCGTTTAATTGGTCCCCTATGTCGTCTCACAAAAATAAAATAAAAGGAAAAGAATGCTCAATGAATCAAGACGATCGGCCTAGGAGGCCAATTAGACGCTCTATGCGGGCAACTAGGCACCCAATCATTTATTCGGGACACTTAGAATAAAATCAGAGTGGCGACGCCCGATCACCGCCTAGCGCCTAAACGGGGAGTAGGCGGTGGGTGCCTATAGCGATTGCTAGAACAATGATAATAACTCAAATCATTATCTAATTAAATATAGGGGTAATTTGAGTTTGCACCCCATATTAATGTCTAAATTGGACTTTGTACCCCGTTTTTATAAATCTTAGTTTTTGCACCCCAACCCCATATGAAAAGACAAAAATGTCCCTCCATTAACAATTTTGTTGACCTTCAACATATTCCTGGTTGAGGGCATTTTTGTCTTTTCACATGGGTTTGGGGTGCAAAAACAAAGATTTATAAAAACGGGGTACAAAGTCCAATTTAGACATTAATATGGGGTGCAAAAACAAAGATTTATAAAAACGGGGTACAAAGTCCAATTTAGACATTAATATGGGGTGCAAACTCAAATTACCCCTTAAAATATACGATCATTGACCAAGAAAAGTCAGTTTGACCAAGTTCTATGGGACTGAGAGAATACATATTTGTTACGGCAATTTTGATATACTTATTTTAGAAATTACATACACAATTTATAATGAAGATTTTTCATATTCTTATCAAATGATATAGGTCTAAAATTTTCAGGTCGGATCTGGTTTATTAAAGTCTGATCTGATTTGGTTTTAACTAGGCAAGTCACATATTACCAAATCAGAAAGTTTCAATCATGGTCTGTTATTAAATCTGTGAGAAATTTATAATTTGTATACTTTCATTTTTTTAACATATATATACTCTCTCCGTCCCCCTGACTTTGTCCCGTTTTAACTTTTTCGTTCGTCTTATTAAGTTTGTCCCATACCATATTTGATAATATTTGGGTGGTTACAATTCATTTTTACTTCATTCACATTTTATCAATTCAATACTAACCACACAATTCTATTTTTTTAAAAAAGTTGTGTCACATCCCTTTGTCCCAAACATAGTGGGACGGAGGTAGTAACATTTTCATATAATTTTCATACTTTATGTAATTTCATATAATTTTCATACTTAACATCATTGACAAGAAAAAAAAATCAATATGATCAAGTTTTATGGAAGGACGGGTATAAGTAAAATAAAAGAAAACTGAATAAAAGATTCATGTAGAATGCATACATGTACTTAGATGTTGTCTAAGTTTAAAATTTTTTGGAACAATATAAATTTATGTTACTTGTGAAAGTTTTTGAAGATGGTATATGAAGAGAGACGTACTACGCAAGTACGTATTTTAACTTAAATAAACAAACATATTATCAAAAAAATAAAAATAAACATATTACGGAGCATTTCCCCAGCGGATTAGCTACGTGCTCATTAAAGAGCACGCAATGGGCTCTTTAAAATTATTGTTACCACATTATGTACTTGGTGTGTATGTTAGGCTAGTTGGAGGTAGGCTCTTGATATGAAAAACATTGTCTTCCTGAATGGAGTTTTAAACTAAAATTTTATGGGCATAAACTAGACTTGATGAAGAATATTCTCAAAAATTTCATCAAAAAGTTACACAGAGAAGACCCTCTGATTGCGTTGTCCACACGAAGGTTCCTATCAGGACATATGTATATTAACGGGACTCTAAAAGTATATTATATACATATGTCCTGAGAGAAACCTCCGTGCGGACAACGCCGTCAGAGGACCTTCCAGCTAGATGTAATTTTTTATGGAATAATACACACACATATATTGTAGGCTTAAAATCTAAAAATATTTGAACTGGTGATGGAAATTGGAGTCACTTACAAACACTTGGATATGTCTTTAGATGTTTAAGAGTCTCTTCTTTGGTAATGTTGAAAATATATATGCCGAAATCAATGAAGTTCTGGTTGAAGCGATTCAATTGACGGAATCTACTATCAAATTGTGTAAGGTTATATTTCAAATATTTTTTATTAATAAAATAAAGAATCTCTATATGAAAAAATAGTTAAAATCGTTTTCTATAATAACTTCAGTCAACTCAATCAGAAATACGTAGTATAACTTTAACCTTACTATTTTGATTATTTTGAAAAATATTCTTATTTGCACTAGATTCCGTTTTGGAAATTATTTTGTTATCTTGTAAGTTTTACTTTACTTGTTCATCTTTTTTTCCCTATTTTTTCATATTTTTTATCCTGTTTTTCCCCTTTTACATGCACTAGTACAGCACCCGTGCGATGCACGGTGCAGGAGTTTGTTGGATGGATATTATTACTGTTAGATTTTAAAGTCTAATTGGAAATAAATTTAAATATCTTAAATTGTGACGATTAAGAAATGAAATTGTAATATGTAATCCATAGACAACATTCATGTAATGTGATTCTAATACAATATGAAATATTAGAGATTATGGAACACTTCTTTATAGACAACATTCATGGTTTCATTCATTGGACAATCATCTTCGTTTTGGATGAGGATTTTGAGACCTGCACGATTGGTAACTCTTGAGACGGCAACATACAATTGACCATGGCTGAAAACTGGTTTTTTTAGTAAGAGACCGACGTGAGTGAGTGACTGGCCTTGACTTTTATTGATGGTTATTGCATAAGAAGTCATAATAGGGAATTGCCTCCTTTGAAATCTAAATGGCAGCCTAACATCAGACGGTGTCAAAGATAATCGCGGTATTAAGACTTTTTGTCCTGCACTAATACCATTGAGGACCCTTCCCTCTAAGATGTGATCACACATCTTTGTTATGATGAGTCATGTTCCATTACACAAACCCAATGAGTGATCAATATTACGCAAAAGCATGACCGGGGTACCGACTTTCAAAGTTAACTTATGATTTGGCACACCAGAGAGTTTAATACTATTCAAGAATTCTGTAGTGTGCAACTCTGCTATAAGATCATGTGTTGAATCAGATTTGCAAACACTATCTGAACTAAGATATGTTCTAGCAACTTCCTTGGAATTCAAACTTGTCATGTAGTCGTTGATGGAATCAACGACATCAAGGGTTGGAGCAAGAATAGCTCTATCTCTCAAGTAACTCAAATCTGTACTTGATTTCAGATAATCAGGATAAATGACCTCCACTATCTTAGCAATTGGATCTCCGGTGTATTTGATAAGGATGTCATCGGGTATTTTAATAGAGACACAACCATCGTTCAAATCCCCAGCTAATCCATCACCTATGCTTGCAATCCAATCGGCAAAAGCCTTCAAATCATAGGATTCTGCAGGACTGCTGACATTTTGGAGCCTCATGTTCTTAGTTAATCTAAGAACAGTACATTCCCCCCATAGATAAGATGAATTAATTGTTGCATTAACAACGTCTTGTCTACTACCTTGTGGGATTACCGGTAGCACTTGTCGAAAGTCTCCCCCAAAAACAATTGTCTTACCACCAAATGGTAAGTTTAGGCTATTTGGGTTCGTGAATCTGAGCACATCACGCATGCTTCTATCCAATGCCTCAAAACAGAATTTGTGGAGCATTGGAGCTTCATCCCAAATGATTAATTTACACTTACTGATTAATATTGCTAAAGGACTACCCTGCTTTATATTGCAAGTTGAATCTTCATTCAAACTTATCGGAATTGCAAAACGCGAGTGCGCGGTTCTCCCTCCGGGTAGTAGTAGAGAAGCAATGCCACTTGATGCCACATTTAATACAATGTCCCCTTTGGACCTCAATGCAGCGGATATAGTTCTCCATACAAACGTTTTCCCAGTTCCACCATATCCATAAACAAAATACATCCCTCCACATTCTGTTTCAACAGAATGCATGATCTTTTCATAAACAACACGTTGTTCATCTGTTAGACCTTGAAGCAAGGTATTATGTTCTTGATGCATCGCCTGCCGATCATATTGGAGTTCCTCTTCAACAAATCTATTATTGGAAAGGTAAGTTGAGTCTGACTTTGGACATGGCATTGGAGGGAAATCACGTAAACTCTTCCCTCGTCGTTGCAATAACATCTCCACCTCCGTTAATGCCGCCATTTGCAATTGATCATTGTCCATTACAAACCCTGTATGACATGAAAAGATGGAATGTCATGTCAACCACTAATCAAATCAATGCAGAGAACAAATTAGCACGAACCAATGGTTTAATGTGTTAATGATAGATAACAAAATAGTTGTATTAATATACCTGGATGTTGATACTTTTTACGCAATTTGTATTGAATATCTTCTGCCATGTATATCCAACACTTCTCCCAAACAAATTCTGGTCGACTCATGGATTCTGACCACAACAATATGACGAAGAGTATCCTTAGTGCAAATGCTGTCGCAAAATCACTTGCCTCAGTAAAACCATCAACAAATTCTTTATCATCGTCCAAAAGCCCCAAAGCATAGCAAGTTTCACGGTATGAATTATATAACACACCGCCTATAGTCCTCAAATCTTCATGACACGTCACTCCCCGAATATGATTCAATTAACACCTCATATAATAAGACTCCCCACATCCTGGTGGAACATAGTATATCCGACCAATAGAAAATGCTTTCTTTCTTGGAACCCATTCCCTCGTACCCTTTTTCCATACAAATTTCTGAGGAAATTCAGCATATGTCATTTCTCTCGCCACCTCGTATTTTTTGTTAGCTTCCATCCACCCCAAAAACATGCTATCTTTAACACTCCTCCCAGCAACTACAAAATCAAGAGGCTCATTGTCTGAGAAGA